GGTCAAGTTACCTTGACATTACTCGACTAGAATCTGGAATATACCCAAGTAATTTCTTTTGTGCGTGAGCTAGACTATTGACGTTGACAAAGCTTTTAAATCTTTACAAACTTAAATCAAATTACTCCACTATTCGGGTATGTATACACACATGATAAATTGCACCTGAATTAAATTTAAATGCTGTCATAGTAAGGTCTAAAATCGATTGAAGAAAATTCACAGATTTGGACAAGCTGTTTTGTTAACTATACTGTACAGTCAGGAGAATCGATTCCCATGTCGCTAACAGCCAGTCGAACAAACGTCCATTAAAATTTCATTAGTTTAAAGCAACATTACCCATACAACTTTGACATTCATTAGAGCTCAAAGGCGTCATTAAACCATAATGGACTTTTGTGCAACTGACTGTAAGAAAAGTATCTTATTTATCTACGTTTTGACGTAGAGTGTGCCGATTATAAATAAAAATACATAGATCAGATTATATCCTACGCACTCTTAATAGATATATAGAGATAGAATACGGAGTTAAATCTAAAATAAGCTAATAATTATCCTTGACTTAAATGTAAGTACTTTAGACTCCGATCTAATATGTAATGATCGAGACTTTCAGTACACATAATAAAAGAATCATTGACATTATCAACTTAATAATTCAATCAAATGCACCTTACCTAGAATTCAATGAATGAAGATTTAATGAATCTTCGTGAAGGAAAGAAAGTCGGGAGATAAAAGCGGCGAATTAGCTACGAAACAAGTGCACCGATTCAGCTGTTTTGAGTCCGTGTAAATCCCTGCCCAAAAAACAGATGTGTAGTGTAGCTACATTTTATATTACATAATTAGGAGTTCGATAATGGCCCTAATAACGCTAATAGCATCGAGAAAAGGACGTCGTGCATTTAGGTCGACTTGGTTTGGAAAGATATATCTTAATATATTTCATAAATTTCGCATTCACAGTGCTATACCGAAAAATATTCTCAATAAAAAAATGCTTAAAAAATCGAGCTGGGATTCAAACCTATGACCTTTCGCAATCCGGCCGACTGCTCTAACTACTGAGTCACCCAGGAGCTTACAGGACTTTCGAATATTTTGAGCACTTATTACTTTTACGCTACTTCAGAGCGCATTCTTATCATTGTTCAGGCAATCCACTCAAACAGCCGAAAGAAATATTTTTACAAACATTTAAACTTTCGATAAAGATGAAAAGCATTTTTCAGTATAGCATTGTGAATGTAAAATGCATACTTCATATAGTGATATGAGAATATATTCAGTATTCTATTGAACAGCATCTGTAACTTACCATACTAATACGCATCGAGAGTAGAGACGAGCTTGCTTAGTTTCATACATTTTTATTCACGGAAAAAATCAAATGCAATTATAAAAAAAAAAAACTTTTGATTATTTTAGATTATATCAAAAACTATTTAGAGGAATATTTGTGGATTTCGATTGAAATATTGATCCAATTATTGTAATATATATTTCTGTTTTTAGCAAGCAACCGATCATACATTTAATTTCCATCAATTATTTTTTTTTTGCAAATGTTAGCATAGCCTTAGAATAAAATGGGTTTAAAAAGTAATAATTTCTTACAAAAAGTAAAAAAAATGGTAACATATTCAAATATTTTAAAGTATTGTTAGGTTAAAAATTGGTTATGTCTTATTATAATTACCATTTGAAGACTATTGGACTAATGGTTATACCAAATTCTTTCCCCATATTACTACTGAGTAAGTATAAAACCACTACCTATATATATATTTTCTGTATGAATGAATATAGCTTATTGTTAGTGAAAAGAGCTTAATTTTTTTTTTTTTTTTTTTTTTTTTTATTTGGGTTAACAAACAGTTTCACAATGAATCTTAATAGCTAAGTATATAATTTGTATTTAAGTATAATTAATTGTGAAACCAACACCGTCAATCACGGGTAGATTTCAGAAGTTGAGAGTTAAACAAATAGTATAATAGAATATAATAGAAAAGAAAAGTGATGTACTCATACTTAAGTCAGATGCCCAATGCTGATCTCGTTCAATTTGTTTGTAATTAATGTTTTAAACGAGCCAACACTGGTTGCAAATATGTCTGTATCGTTAAAATAATTATTATGTATGTCGGCTAGCCGCGATATTGGTGTACGTTTGCCGGCGTTTGTACGTGATCTAGGTGTAGAGAATAGTATACTAGCTCGACAGGTTCGTACACGCGGTCTAAAGGGAACTTTGTAGCTTATATTATTAATTATTTCGATACAGTCATATTTATTGTGACAGTAGTCATACAGCAACAAACCTTGCAGCTGCAGTCTTCTAAATTTAAGAGGAAGTAATTTATATTGTTTCAATAATATTTGATAAGACAATCTTTTATGGTAACATTTATAATGTATGCAACGTAAAAATTTTTTTTGTACCCTTTCAATTCTATCAGAATATACATTATATAATGGATCCCAAATACACGTGGCGTACTCCAGTTGTGAACGTATGAGGGATTTATATATATGAATAAATGTAGAAAAGCGTTTAAAGTTACTACTAGCACGCATAACAAATCCGTACATTTTATATGCTTTCATGCAAATACTCTCTATATGTGAATCCAGTGTCAGTTTAGAGTCCAGTGTAACACCGAGATCTCTAATGTTCTGTACTCTATCTAGGTTTGTGCCGCATAACGAGTAATTGTGCTTACTGATAGTTTTTTTAATAGTGAAACTGATGAATTTACACTTATTTATACTAAGACTAAGTTTATTATTTCTGCAATAGACCGTCAACCTATTAAGATCATCCTGAACTTTGTAATGGTCCGTGGTATTTCTTATCTTGCGGTACAGCTTAAGATCGTCTGCATATAATAAAAAGCTACAATTTTCAAAGCACTCATCGATATCGTTTATAAAAATATTGAAAAGCAATGGGCCAATTATTGAGCCCTGAGGAATGCCCGATGTAATTGTAACGGTTTCAGATTCATGACCATTTATGACCACTTTTTGAGCCCTATTACTTATATAGGATTTGAACCATCTCCAAAGGTTTCCTCGGATGCCGTTAAAAGCAATCTTCTGCAACAGTATTTTGTGATCTACCCGATCAAATGCTTAATAATATTATCAGCTATTATCTCTTTTATAATCAAAAATCTTACCACAAGTACATTGTGTACCTTTCAAGAGAACAATATAAAGGCTTTAAAACTACTCCAATTGAAATGCCGAACGAGTTTAATATTAACGCACATTATTTACGAATTTTACACTTTTTAATCTATTGAATCCCATTTGTCTCTTTCATTATAAGGATCTGTGATATTGGATAAAACGAGACAGCTGATACATAACCAGCTCCATTGTTAAACGGTTAATGCAACCCCATATACGAGGGTCGCGAAATCTTCCCGCGCTTGCGCGAATCAATAATGACCTCAGTACTGTATATGGGGCTGTTGATGTGTTACTGTGTGTTACACCTTATTTTTACTAGTCCGTTGCGTTGTTAACTAAAGTACGAGACTATAACATCGTACAAAACCAGCAATGGAAATGCATAGAATATTGCGATCACTGATGTTCTTGTGTTTGATTTGTTTGTAGTACGGGAGCGCGCGTGCGCCCTGCATCCATGGACCATACCTTGGACAAGTGTAATTCGAAACTTGTCGCAAAGTGCAACCATTTTGTGAGGATATTAATAAATAACCTGTTAATGTGAGTTTTTTTTACATTATTCCGTAGCTCTGTGTTGTGGTGTCGTATTGTTGCAGTTGTGTGTTGTTTGTTTTGTTTTATCCGGTGTTTATTTCTCTGTCTCATAAACAAAGGTCGGGATTATATTTCAAGTAATAACTAGCTTCAGCCAGCGGCTTTGCCAGCTTGGTTTATACGATGACTTATCAATAGATTTATCCCTAGGTAACCATTTATAGGGATAAAAAGCCTTTTGTTAATTCGGGCTCAGAATTATACGTTTACAAAGTTTCATCAAAATCCGTTCAGCAGTTTTTTATAAAAGAGTAACAAAAATTCATCCACGCATTCTTCCGAATTTATATTAATAGTTGGCTATTTCTAACATGGCTGTACTTCCTACTTACTTATTTCTTTGACTAAGATTAAATCTTCAAAGGTTGAACCGAAGTCGAAAAAAGGTAGTAAAGTCTAATAACTTTGTAGTAGGGGTCAATGTAGAAAATTAATTTTTCTATGTTGTATCGGGTTTGTATGTTGTGTTACCTTCGTTGTCTCAGATACTCCATAATGCGGGGGCTTTAGCTACTCATCTTGGAATCTGAGCAATGTATGTGATGTTCTTTAATATTTATTTATTTAATTGAAGTGTATTAACAGGATTGATAAAATCTATACTTAGAGCGGTAAGCACTGTAATTAAAAGATTAGTTCCTACATAGGTATTTACTTAATTTTATATATCAAACTTTGCAAATAGCCTTAAGTAAACAAACCAAAGAATACTAATACCAAACTGTATTTGATATAGCACTTAAATAAATATTTAATTAATTGTAAGTGTTATGGGTGAGCTGTAGGTGTTATAGCTTACTTTGTGGAATACGAATCGGCTACTTTAAATACCATAATGAAAAACTTTTGTCAATCTTCTAATAAGAGTTACCTACCTATGTTTATAATTATTTAACTTATGACGAAAAACAACCTTATTACATATTAAAATTGGTCTTAATCTCTCGGCTACGAAAAAATACTTACCTATACCTATGAAGTTATAAGAAAACGTTACGGACGCTAAAGTACCACTACATAATTTATTTTAGCAGCAGCCACGATTGTCCTTCTACATTAAACCTCCTAATATTAAACACGCGTGGGATTTTGTTGAGACATTCACTGGTCACACATAATAATAGTAATAAAAAAACAACAAGAGCGAGTCTGTATTGTTATTCTATTTTATTAAAACCTTTTTCTTCCGAAGGATGACGTGCGGGGCAGAATGTCTATCTATCGGCCCGCCGCCGGACTCCATCCTGCACATGCCACCACCACCGCTGCCAGCGTTCCTAGCGAGCGCTGCCAACCTGACGCCCCCCTGTCGTGCATCCAAATGCCCCCCGCTACAGAACAGCGAGGATAACGCACTGTTCCCGGGTGTGGAATACCACGAGCTACCCCGACACGGTTCGTATACAAAAATTCTTTCGGTATTTACTAGTGTGGACGCAGCAGTCCCGATGGATCCTTAGCGACGCGCTGATAAAAAGTTGCCAGTGTTAAATTAACTAGGGTGGTACCCTACCCATGTTTCCGTTAAATTGACGGATATGACAACTTATAATTCTTTCATTAATATGGTTGTAGTCATAAGAAGTAGTGTTATGGCAGACACATTTCAACTATATGTCTCCCAAAAGATTAACATGTAGGTAGTTTTTGAAATAGAATACTGCTTTATGATTGATCAGGGGAACAATAAATAGTGTATATCAAGTAGCTTATATTTATATTGAAAATGACACGTACTCACCAGATAATTCAGCCTAGCCCAGACATAATTATAAATCACGTAGGTAAATTAACAAACTCGAACCGCTTAAATGTAATGATACTGAACCTGGAGTTTGTCACTAGAGCCGTCATTTCCAGAGCCCGCCGGCAACGACGACACCTGGTTCCTGGTGCTGATCACCTGTTGTATCGCTGTCCTGTGCATCGCGGCGCTGCTGGCACTGTTCCTCCTCAAATGTCGAGAGTAAGTTGCCATTGCTTATCTAAACTTGGTGAATCTTGAATGTGAGTTTTTTAACTTAGAGTTACGTTTGCGTAATATATTCATACTTCGGTCATTTTTGTACGAGTTATTGTAAAATGTTTCCAAAGATATTAAATTTATATTACAATGACAAAGGTGACGTCAATGGTGTTGTGGACACCAGTGGTGTTAAACTTAAATCTTCAAAATCTTCTAATGTCCACAATAAAGGTGTTCGTCAAAGCAACATGTCATTAGTAATGTTACAAAAACGTCAAAATCAATAATATGTAAAAACTTTAAAACAGCTGTCCAGCTGCCGGTCCTCAACAGTATTAAACAAGATAAAGCTTAGTATAATCTATACTAATATTATAAAGCTGAAGAGTTTGTTTGTTTGAATGCGCTAATGCTGGTTCGAATTGAAAAATTATTTTTGTGTTGAATAGACCATTTATCGAGGAAGTTTTTAGGCTATATAACATCACGCTGCAACTATTAGGAGCGAAGAAATAATGGAAAATGCGGACGAAGACGACCACTAGTGTTATATGTTTTTAGATAAAACAAATGCTTGATAATCAACAATATTAATTATTAAATCAATTACAATCCCCATACAATATATTGCTCAATTGGCTCTCCATAATCAGCAAGATGGAGACATCCTAGACTACTTACACATTATGTCTTAACCACAGATAACAATTATTATAATTTTACACTTAGATCAAGAGTTTTTAGTAAACATGCATAAATAAAAAATCATTTCAATTTTTTTGTTTACAGAACGAGAGGTGGCTGTAAGAGTGGCACTGGTAAAACTAGTGGCTCCAACGCACTTTACGGAGGCGCAGCTCTGGATTCCCGAGTTTTATGGGCCGCCCTCACTCCAAGAGGGACAAGGCACTTCGTCGCAGACACCTACCCTCATGACGAAACCGAAGACCACCACTACGAATGCGTAGAGCCCCCGCTATACAAGCTCGGACCACCAGAAGATCTCACCATCACACGTCATTTCAACGTAGAATATGAAGACCCAGCGCCTCTTATAGAAAGCTACAGTGAAAGAACCGAGGAATACTTTAGAAATGGAATCGACACTTTACGACGTGGAAGACCCCTCGTCTCCTCCCCGACTCGCATAGAGCGCCCTAATCTTCCACCTCTAAACCTTCAACCCAGAACCCTGCGAAGGGCACCACATTCCCGCCGGGTGAGCGATGCAAACAATCCAGAGAAATCGGCCATCTGAACCGAGACTGGCGCGGTATTCTCCGTCGCCGATTCAGCCGATATCGATTACGATTGGCGATCGATGGAAAACTCGAATGTCGATCGTCTCGTTTGAGGACCACTAGCGAAATCGTGATGAATCCTGTCGACGAACTACAACAAATAAAGAAACCTGAATGAACCAAATCACAACTCTACTTTTTTTTGTGTGTTCGTTGACGAATCCAAAATATTAAGTGCATCACTACATACCATGATAATCGTGCCATCTACCTGGTCTTGGACTAACAATAATCTGTGTATTCACTTACGTTAGTTTATGTAAATATCAACTCTGTTATTATTATGCAGCAATGTGCAATGTAAATGCTCTATGCCTCTAGTCGCAAATTGTATTTTCTAGTCAACAACTATGATTAGTTTAAGAAGTAATGAACTCGGTGTCTATTTTATACTCACGTAACTACTTTATTCTTAATCAAGATTGATAGACTGTTGTCATTCGTAATGTTGCAATCACTTTATTGTGCCATATATTAGAACAGTACCGTCGAATTTTATACAATAAAAAATATTGAAATTTATTCTCATTATCATTAACCTATTTATATGTAAGAGACATACAATTTTATAAGCGAGTTTCATACTAGAAATGCAACGGATAGTTGTTTGGCCGGATACCGGATATTCGGCCTGACCACCAGCCGAATATTCGGTATCCGGCCGCCGAATATTCGGCTAGCGGTATGATATCTACATTTTGAGTTTCGTAGGTGCGTGGCGCGTGCCGCCACGCCGTGCAGGTTTTGACTTGTTTCGTAGTGAACGTTCGCGCGGTCACAGTTCTTGGTAATAGAAATAGTTTTATCGTGTCAGTCAGTACGAAACAATTTCGTTTGTGTGCTCGCGTATTTTTAGTTAATAAAATAAGTTGGTGGTGTTATCGTGTGATAGTGGTTTTGTATTAATTAACATTTACCTACTGTGTCATTAATTAGTGTGCTTATAAAAATGGCAACAAGGAGGTCTCCACTTTGGAATTATTTTGAAATAGACAAAGAAGATGCTAAAGAAAGCTGGAACCTCGTGCATCAAAAACCACTTGAAAGCCAAGCATTCTGATAAGTTTAGCGAAATTTATGGTGGTTCGTCCTCATGTGTTGGACCTGCTAGTTATACGAGCTCAACTGCAAGTACTTGTGCCGCGGCCACTCAACCGTCCTTGCAAAAACAATTGACTTTAGCTGAAGTTGTTGAGCGAAAACAATATTGGGGGATAAATGATTCGAAATCGAAAGAATTTCACTATTTAATTGGCGAAATGATCGCGTTGGATAACGAACCACTATCCATTGTTGACCGAGTTGGATTTAATAGCCTCATGCAAAAAACGGTGCCGAGGTACAAGTTGCCCAGTCGCACTTATATGACTGAAAAAATAATACCGGACATATACGACCGAATTACCAAGAAAATTATGGTTTTTTTTTTAAATCTGCAGCTGTTTCCATTACGTCAGATATATGGACTTGTGACCACAATAATGAAAGTTTTCTGAGCTTCACCGCCCATTGGATATCTCCAGTCTTCAAACTGGAACATGGCGTTTTGGCAATGAAGCCCTTTTCAGGGTCTCACACCGGAAAGAACATAGCAAACGAACTTAACATTATTGCTGCACGGTGGAATATTCCGTTAAATAAAATACACATTATTGTACATGATAGTGGGGCTAATATGGTAAAAGGAGTTCAAGTGGCTGAATACGATTCAACTAGGTGTTTTATTCACTCACTCCAGCGAGTCATTACTGAATCACTTAAAACTCAACATGATTTAGTAGAGATGCTGAATGCCTCAAGACGCATTGTAACTCATTTCAAGCATTCAGGATTAGCACAAGAAAAACTGAAGGCAATTCAAACAGAGTTAAAGTTACCAGAACATCAGTTGGTGCAAGACATCAGTACACGTTGGAACTCGACGTACTATTTACAAGAGCGGCTGCTAGAACAAAGACGCGCTGTTTCTTTGTATATAACCGACCACAATAAACTCAGCAACTTGACTCTTTAATGGAATCGACTTTAATGGAGCAATGCATCATTCTCCTCAAACCCTTCGAGGAAATAACGAAAATCACGAGCTCAGGTTTATCGTGCATTTCAGAAGTTATACCGCATGTGGCGGTTTTGATGAGGTATATTCAAAAGGAAGAAACTTCACGCAAAGTTCTTAACTTATTGCAATTTCTAACGTCCCTGAAAACTCGATTACAACAACGCTTCGAAAATCTAGATAAAAATCCAAAGTATTTTCTGGCTACATTATTGGATCCCAGGTTCAAGACCAATTTTTTTGGGGTAACACAAGCAGATAAGGCTCGCCAAAGCCTCTTATTGGAGGGTCTAAAACTGAGTTGCAGTGAAGAGGATGCATCCAGCAGTGAAGGCGATTCACCTCCAATGAAGAAAAGAGCAGGCAATGGCATGAGTGTTCATGAATCATTTTGGGACTGTTTTAATGAAGTTGCCAAAGATAACAATCAAACTGAAGACTCTGATAATTGTGCTATAGCCAATGAACTTGACTTTTTCTTAAAAATGGTTCGTCTTCATCGACAAAGTGACCCTTACGCATGGTGGGCAGCAAACGCCAAACAATTTCCGATTTTGGTTAAATTTTCCCAAATATACCTCTCTTCCCCATGTAGCAGTGTGTACAGCGAGAGACTGTTTTCAGAGGCTGGGCTTATATATGAAAACAAGAGGAATCGTTTGCTTCCTAAAACTACTGAAAATCTGGTTTTTATACATCACTATTTACCTTTAGTGGATTTCCAATATTAAATTAATTAATATTACTAGTTACAAATAAGTACCTTTTTTAATTATCAGTATTATCACCAAATTACTTTAAATAATTGATTTATTATAAAAAAGGTTAACGTTGTTTAAAATAATAAAAAGCTTCGATCACGACTATGCCTTATTTTAGATTCCATTTATAAAATTTATCAAGTTTGCTATCCGGTATCCGGCCGGATAGTACATTACCATCCGGTATCCGGCCGGATAGTAAAAAAAGGGCCGGATAAGCCGGATACCGGATAGTAACCGAATATTCGGTGCATCTCTATTTTATACACATTTCTACTTACATTGCAATAAAAAAACGCCCATCTGAACCGAGACTGCTGCGGTATTCTCGGTCATCAGATTTGTAGATTTGCGATAATTGTTTTCTAAATAACCAATCATCATACATTCATATTTGTAGTAGTATTCGAACCAGAGCATATAGAAAAACTTTACTTAATTTATATTATGCTTTGAATAATATGTAATGTACGAATTGGTCGACTTGTCGCAATGAATAGCGAGAAAAACAGGTAAAATTTACAAATTGAATATAATATCAAACCAGTGACATAGCAACATTAGTATTACTAGGATAATTTGGTTGGACCAACTAGGCAACATTATGTTTAATTTTTTGCTAATGGTAACTAATATGGGTAAAGGATTTGAATTAACCAATCACCGTGAGTTCTGAGTCATCATCATCATCATCACCAGCCCTTTTACGTCCCCACTGCAGGGGCTCAGGCAATGCAGCCGGGACCAACGGCTTAACGTGCCTTCCAAAGTACGAAGTAGCTCGAGATAATCATTTTTTGGTCACCCATCCCGTGACCGACCCTTGCGAAAGTTGCTTAACGACAACGATCGCGGGCCGCGGCACTTATCCACTACGCCACCGAGCTACAGTTCTGAGTCACCTAAGTAAAATTGGCCAATTAGAATCTTATATGACTGTCATTGTTTACATTACCAACATAAAAATTTGATTAGTAAGCCACTGTGGTATAAGTTGTTAGAATCTTACATCGCCATTTTTAAAAGAAAATAAAAGTGATTTCTACTACTTCTGAAAAGGAAGACTGGCCGAGGAACGCGGCTAGTTGACGGGTTGGCAAATTAGTATGGTTCACATGATCATCGTTGGTTATGATATGATATTTGGAGAAATCAGACTGGTTGAGGACATGCGGCTAGTGGGCGGTTTGATGACTAATACTTTGGTAAGGCTCGCTCTCGGGGAGAGGAGACTACATGACTTATACTTTGGTAAGACTCGCTCTCGGGGAGAGGAGACTACATGACTGATACTTTGGTAAGGCTCGCTCTCGGGGAGAGGAGACTACATGACTGATACTTTGGTAAGCCTCGCTCTAGGGGAGAAGAGACTATATGACTGATACTTTGGTAAGGCTCGCTCTTGGGGAGAGGAGACAACATGACTGATACTTTGGTAAGACTCGCTCTAGGGGAGAGGAGACTACATGACTGATACTTTGGTAAGACTCGCTCTCGGGAAGAGGAGACTACATGACTGATACTTTGGTAAGGCTCGCTCTCGGGGAGAGGAGACTACATGACTGATACTTTGGTAAGCCTCGCTCTAGGGGAGAAGAGACTATATGACTGATACTTTGGTAAGGCTCGCTCTTGGGGAGAGGAGATAACATGACTGATACTTTGGTAAGACTCGCTCTAGGGGAGAGGAGACTACATGACTGATACTTTGGTAAGACTTGCTCTAGGGGAGAGGAGACTACATGACTGATACTTTGGTAAGGCTCGCTCTCGGGGAGAGGAGACCGGATGATTGATAATTTGGTATGGCTCGCCCTCAGGGTGGGGAGGCTGGATTGTTGGCATAACTAAAATATAATCTGTGATGAACAATTGTGAAGTTACCTATGTATTTAATTTGACATGTCTTTAGTGTATATTGTATAAATTCTGTGTAGAATCAGGGAACTCACTTCGACTGTGTGTTAGTCGATCGGCCCTGACTTTACACGTGTTGACGTGTGAAGTCAGGGTGCCATAAAATTCTAGATGCGAGCGACCCGACTCTCGATGACCGGCCTTCGGTTGAGTAGTGGTCGAGTTGCCCGACGAGTAGATGAGCCTTGACCTTGTAAGGCTAAGGAGCTGCTTCGATAATTGACTGGGTAAGAAATTCTGCCATGATCTTAGACTCTTCCTACCTCCTTTAAGTTTTACCCTTCAATTTTTATCTCGTATTTCATAAGGTGAATTCATATTTGTTCATTAATATATTAACGTGATTTCTATATTATCTCATTTCATTGCTATCGTGAATTGCGTTGTAATCTGCGATGTAAGGGGATGGGATTCTATGGGTTTCATCTGAACACAGACGCTAGATTCGCGGCAAAGTAAATTCAGTATAAGCGAAGCAAATCATAACGTGTTTTGTCGTTGTTGAAGTTAAGTATAATGATTCGACGTAAAGCAATAAATTACCAAAGCAGATACCATTATACATAACATCTTTATGGTCATCATAATTTTTTCCCCGGTGCGACATAACAGAGGGATGTGTTATCATCTCGATATGTAGAATCGAATCATCGCGACACGACTATTACTCGTAAACTTGTAAAGCCAACTTAACTGTGATAGATTTCATTTTAACTTAGTTATATAAAGATACTAGTGCTGTAACGTTGTATTTGTACCAACGACCGTTTAGTTGGTAGAGGGGGGACACTTGAATAAGCCACAAGCACCCTTCAATTCAATGAAATATTAATATAAATACATCCAACATTCAATACCCTCTAATCCGCATTAGGCCAGCGTGGAGAGTCATGGCCCGTCCTCCTTAACCATCCATAAGAAAGGCCTGAGCCCCGGCGGTAAAAGTACGTAAAAGGGCTAGTGATGATGACTCAAATTTTAAAATAACCTGTAAAGAATATTGCCAAAGACTAAACTTTATGGATGGACTATATCCTCTGAATAAACTATATCACGTTGCTTGTGTTGACATGGACCCAAGATTTGGTTGTAGGGCTTAATTCCTTCTCCTGTGCCATCGACAAAACTACTGTTAATAAGAATAATATTATAAGTAATGATGTGCCGATTCGATTATTATACACATTAATTAATCGATTATAGTATTACTTGTGCTCAATTAACTATTGATAATATTCCTTTTATGTTAATGAAAAATACTTAAAAATCACCATACCAGCATTATGAATGCAAAATTTATAGAACTAAAGTAGCTGTACCGGTGATTTCGTCCGCGTGGAAAATAGCCTTAGTAATTCGTTATCACATAAGCTGTCTGCCGGTTAAAGTCCCGTCAAGATCGGTCCATCCGTTCCATAGTTAGCCGGAACAGACATACAAAAAATAAAAAAAAAAAACATTTGGTATAGGTATTTGGTAAAAAAAAATCTTTTGGTATAGGTAATCCGTTCATTCATTCATCGGGAGCTCCCCGACTAAAGAAAAAAGTTACCTATTTGTTCGTGCGAGTATTCCAGGGGTGGTATAATAAGTAATAGAAAATCTACTAATAATATTCACACTCGCGATCCGCTAAGGGTTATTGAGCCATCGAAGTAAAGTAAGCAGATACTATACTCACGTTTTAAGCTACTCCTAATATTAACGTTTTAAGAAATAGTCGACTGTTAATTATCGATTAGGAAAACATAATCGATTACAACTGATTATTTTGAAAATTGATCATTGATAATCGATTCTGCACACCACTAATTATAAACTACTATACTACCACCACTACTATGTAATCTGTGACCACTACTGACATTGACGCATAAGTCACGCATAAGTCTGCATTGATGTGACGCGAATTTTCGTGTGAATATTTTCTTGTTGTGCGTGGTGGAATCAAATTTTATTATTTTTAAAAGAAAATGTTACGCTAACTTTCTAACATTATTAAAAACGATATTACAGTGAATTCAGTATATTTATTATCAATAGTTTATTGTATATAAGTAATGGCTGACGATATCATCAAACATTCTGTGCATACCCTGGTGTTCAGATCTTTGAAAAGATCCCACGACATGTTTCTAGCTAATCAGAGTATGCTACCACCTATAGACGAAAAAGCGTAAGTGTTACTATAAAAATATGATCTATATTAAAATATTAATAAGAACAAAAAAACTGTTAAATGGGTTCGAAATTTGGGTTGTGTTAATATTTTCTTAAATTCTTAGACTTTCTTTACTTGTTATTTTATCTTATACAAATTCAACTAAATTATTAAAAGATATTCTGAAGTAATCATAACTATATCAATGCATGAAGCAGATTGTTTAATTTAACTTAATACATTCAGAAATAGTTTACAAGACACCTTTTGTTATGCAGAGAAAAATTGCTGAAATCTGTGAAAGCGAGAGATGGTTATGGACAAGTTATGGCAACAGTTGAGAAAGCACAAGCTGTTAAACAACAAGAAGCACTCAGCAGACCAGACACACCTCTAGACACAGGTAACATGACTTTATTTATCAAAAAAAACCTTCAAATTGTGGTAAATTAACCTCAAATAGTCAAATGATCATGGGCATGCCTAGTATGTATGTAAGGGTATGACTGATGTCAAGTCACTTGATAAATAATATGAATTTTAAATGTTTTTCTATGATAATCTTATTTAATTAGTATTAAGTATGGTACCAAAAACTTTCTGTTAAATGTATGACACCTATTTTCACTAACCACAATAACTATGCCACAAGGTGAATATCATAATTTTAGACATAACTTAATTTCATTTGGTGGTTCTTAATCAATAGTGAAATGCATTTTTACCTCGGGCGATGCCTAAATATTTAGGTGACAGATTTGGGTGACTCATAAATGAAAACAGGCATAAATCTATTTATTGTATTTGTTATCAAAAATACATTAATAAATCAATTCTTAATTCTACCATAACATAGTTTAATATACATTAGTTTGTTGTAATATATCATCCTCTTTAAAAAACATCTGGACCTGAAAAGCATTAGGTCGGATGTGCAGAACCAGCTAAAATCACTTATCGCCATAACGTTGCTACACTCTTTTTTCTCTTTCCGGCAAATTAACTCTTGTATGTTTGTGCCTTTTTACTCATGAGCAACAGTCATGCATAAAGTCGGATCAGACGACTTTTTCAAATATTTTGATTGCATTTAGCTATTTCTGTTTTTATACAGTTTTTATACATCCGACCTAATGCCTTTCAGGTCCAGATATCTTGTTTATCTATTAATACAACAAACCTTATACCATATATGTATCTTATAGAAATGGCAGAATCTGCAGCGTTGGGCTCTGAAGGTGCAATGTTGCCATATACTGGACCGTCGCCGGCAACACCTGCGCCCCCAGCTGGGGCGCTCACCACACTGCCACGGAAAGCCCCCACAATGCCAAAGCCCAAGTGGCATGCACCTTGGAAACTATTCAGAGTCATATCTGGACATCTAGGTTGGGTTCGTTGTGTAGCTGTTGAACCAGGAAATGAGTGGTTTGCTACTGGTAAGTTTATCATCATATACTGGTACTTTATTGCTATCATATAAACAAATATTACATATTTTACAAGTAGTTAAATAAACTATATTTTATATCCCCATATTCATTATACAAAAAAACTAAGTTAAAGGTGATAAAAGTGTTGAAATGAAAGTTTCGAAAAACATTGAAGTTGTCCCGAAATTTTGAGAAGTTTACCTGAAAACTTTTGAAATACGAAGTTTTGAAAGATTAAGCGATATTGTTATTTTAATGTTGACATTCTTATTAGGAAATTTTATAACTTAAAGTTATAAAAATCAACTGAAAAACATACTTTGTGAACACACAAGTATTGGCAATTTAGTGATTGAGAAAAAATAAAATCATAAATATTTTGTCCATTTGTGGATCAGGAATACAATTTAGAATTTGTCAAACAAAACTAGTGTTCCCGACGCATGATTCTGTTACTTACATATGATGATTGCTGTGTTGGTTCTTGGGAAAATGAGAGTGATAATGACGACTTTATCTTTAGAATTGGGCAAGGGAATCAGCGGAACTTAAAAAAGTTCTGCAATGTTCATACATTTACTTTAAATCTATTCTAAAATTCATTGTTATTTTGAATATGAAAGTGTTTCTTGAATGCCAGTTATACCCTAACACAATGGAGGTAACAATTTCACCACTACACTTTTTTTTAAATTTTCTCATAAAAATGTTGTAATGATAAACAGTGCTAGTCGCAAATTTTAAGTGTTTCTTGCTCTGGCAGACACCGCTGCGATTGGTTGTAAAGAAGCACAATGACTTTATATAAGTACAATAAACAAATATGTACAAAAAAATATATTTACATGAAAGTGTGGATCGTAATCAGAATTTGGTTATACTCTACTATGGCCTTAGGGGCCATAGTAGGCCCAGGCCTGGGGCTACCAGATATTCCGGGGGTCCTATCATCAAAATCTGGGAATGGAGCAGTCCTGCAAAATTCCACGTTTACCCTTTGGGTATGGAATCCTAAAAATCGTAGTATTTAAAATATTTGTCATAACAATTTAACTATGCTATTTTCTAATAGTATATTTTCTACATAACACTACATTTTGTATGATAAACCAATGTTAACATGGTTATTTATGAGAATAGAATAATTTACAACATAATTAGTCGTATATAATCGTAAATAATAATTAACAGGCATTTTTCCAAGAAACAAAGTTAAACCAACAAAAATTATTCACTCCGCAAAACTTCCAAAACTGCCGGAAGATTTGGAAGTTTTCAGGAAGGTTTCACTGCAATTTTCATCACTAGGTGATAAGAACAAACGAATGATGTCCATTGTTCATTTTCTTTAGTTGGATACCTGAAATTTATTCCTGTGCAAATCAAACTCTCTTAGAATGCTATTTAAGAATTTTTGTGAACAGGTGCAGCGGATAGAGTAATAAAAATATGGGATCTGGCTAGTGGCAAATTAAAAGTTTCACTTACTGGCCACGTGAGCACAGTTAGAGGTAAGTCTATTACATTTCAAATGTTATATAAAACAATTTCATCAAATGTATTTTTTGAAAAATGTTTTCATTAGAAGTGCTCAGGTACATTCAAAACGGGTTAAATATTTTTATTATTGAAACTAATTTTAAACATGCAAATGCAGTTTTCTGAAACCGAGTTTTACTAATTTTTCTTTTTTTTTTATTACGTCCGTGACGCAGGATTGGAAGTATCTGCCAGACATCCATATTTATTCAGTTGTGGAGAAGACCGACAAGTCAAGTGTTGGGATTTAGAATATAACAAGGTATGAAACAGGTTTTTTTAACAATTAAGTTTTTTACATTAAACTATAAGTGATCTGTTGATACTTTTTTTTATATATGTCACCGGGAAATAACAAGAACCGCAAATTAATAAATCTCATAGGAAATTTATAAACTTTCGTAGTATTCTAAACAAGAGATAAATTGTATTACTTTACGTGCAGTTTCGCAAATTGATAAACTTCCCGAACTCACGCGTAATAAGTAAGCAATAACCAAACGCCACGTGAGCTCTGATTTCTTAAATAAGTCAAGTGTTCCTTCTGTTTCCTCTCCATCGATAATGTTCGCCTTCGTAAGAAGACCTACCTAGTTTTAAAGTAAAAATACCTACTGTTAAGTAATCAAAACTGATAATAGCAAGTCCTACTCGATACACTCGCCTTGCAAATACAAATTATAGTTTGGTTAAGTCTACCGATTGCACCCAAGTCTACGGATACAAGCCCTGCCCCTGTCAACATCGATTTGCCGTATTTTAAAGAAGCGTAAAATCAAAAGCTCTTCTGTGATCGGTAAATCCATTCAGGATCTAACAAATAGATATCCGTTAGCTAATAAATTTTCCAAGAGACGTCATAAGATAATATATACAGTTTACACGTTGTTTAGAATCCTACGTAATTTTGTTGACATATACACCTGTATTCGTTCTAAAACTTGCTTCCTAAGTAGCTCGTTGTATTTACAACGAGTCATCGTTGGATGCCGAGCGTGTTTGGCGTGTGTAGAGTGTGTAGCGTGCAGTGGCGTAACTACAGGGTGGCAAGTCGGCAAATGCCACGGGTCCTCAGCTGGAAGGGCCCCCGGTTAGAGGAGACTCCTTACTCCTGACATTTATTACACGATTAATAAAAAATATAGAATGTCAGATGAATTTGCCACGGGTCTCAGACGGTATAGCTACGCCACTGGTAGCGAGTGTGTAGCGCGCGTGTGTGTGGGGCAGGTGATCCGGCACTACCACGGGCACCTGTCGGCGGTGTACAGCCTGGCGCTGCACCCGGCGCTGGACGTGTGTAGCGTGTGTAGTGTGTGTAGCGAGTGTGTAGCGCGCGTGTGTGTGGGGCAGGTGATCCGGCACTACCACGGGCACCTGTCGGCGGTGTACAGCCTGGCGCTGCACCCGGCGCTGGACGTGCTGCTGACGGCGGGGCGCGACGCCACCGCGCGCGTGTGGGACGCGCGCACGAAGGCCAACGTGCACACGCTCGCCGGACACACCAACACCGTCGCCTCCGTGGTCGCGCAGGCCGCCGAGCCGCAGGTGAGTACTTTGCAGCCATTCGGAAGCCTCTCCCTTAGTCCGCCCCTGCTTCTTGATTTAATTTTGTTTTGTATTTTTATACGAAAAATGGAATCAATAGAATTTCTTCATTAAATGACGTGAATTGGGACAACGAGCTAAATCGAAGTCGGGTTCGGTTTTTTTTTTGTTTGTTGGAGGGATGACTTGTTCTTTTTTATCCAAAGGAATGAACTCAAGAGACGTTGCTGAGTCTAGTCTAGGCCGAGGACAGCCTAGAATATTCTATGTGTATTTTTGTTGATGGCAACAAAAATACACATACAATATTCTAGATAAATTCACTGATCAGCGAACTGAATACGCGGGCAATAACACGCGATATTCGAAGCAATAACTTCTGCGGAGAATTATACATCTAGAGTTTAGACACAAACTCGAGAAACGAAAGAACTCGAGATAAAAAAACATGAGTCACCTCTCTAATATACAATATCTACTAATAATGCTTATCTTTTGTCACCTAGGAAGGAACTGGCATCAAAATGCAATTATTTTGTTAAATTCAGAAGCCAGGGTTTCATTAATATGTAATATTATCTGGTAGAAGTTGTAATAAATATTTTCATTTCATCACAACATGTACGATAATGATCAAATACGCAAATACGCCCATCCATCCCCTTATTTCTCGGAATGATATTAATTTTAGTTCAGATGTCCAAATCCCAAAATTTCCAGTTTCCAAAATGTCCACTTCCCGAAATATCAAATTCCTGAAATTTCCAATTCCCAAAATGTCCAATCTAGTACCATAACGCGTTTGTTGAATACATTATAAATAATATTTAACAAGGTTTTTAATAATTTTAAACAGGCCATGAGAACTGTGTATTCAACAATGTAATATTATGTATTTTTTCCAGATCATAACAGGTTCTCACGATAGTACAATCAGACTGTGGGATCTAGCGGCCGGCAAATCTCTGTGTACACTGACCAATCACAAGAAATCAGTGAGGTCTATAGTGATCCACCCCACCTTATACACGTTCGCTTCTGCCTCACCAGACAATATAAAACAATGGAAGTGTCCCGAAGGAAAATTTATACAAAACTTATCGGGACACAATGCGATAGTAAACTGTATGGCTGTGAATCCGGAGGGGGTATTAGTGAGTGGTGGGGATAACGGCACAATGTACTGCTGGGACTGGAGGACCGGATACAACTTCCAGAGGATACAGGTATGTGTTATTTTTATTAATGTAAAAAGTAGTTCTGTCTGTAATTTTGTCTGTATCTGTTGGGTTTTTAAAACGCAACGGATTTCGATACGATTTTCATTATTTTTACTAAGCTTATTCTTTTTCCGTGTTAAACCATTCGAGCTTCTCATACAAATATACTAGTTCAAAGCATTCAAGATGTTCCTTTCCTCTCAAATCTTTAGTATAAATTACTCATTGTAACATTTGGTCATGTGACATCCCGCATGGCAGGAATCGAAAGCAAACACGAACGCATGCGTTTTGAACATGCTGAATGAGTATCTCAGTTCTGATAATATCAAACCATAAGTTTCATCTCCGTAATTTGGATAGGACAAAAACTCAATTGTCTGAACACGCAATTCGTCTCTAGATCCACATAAAAATAAAGATGAAGATATTCTCAAAATGTTCAATTCCCGAAATCTCCAATGTTATGATGGGTTTGTTGATATACTGATGAATATAAGGACATTTTTGGAATTGGATATTTTGGGAATTGGAAATTCTGAACTGAAAGACTGATTCGAATATTTGTTCAAATATAATTTTAGTCTATAGATGGGTCAGTTGAAAACGGGCCTAGTCCGGATTTATGGGTGACGTTATTTTATTGCTTTGTTTTTTTTTACAGTCAGCCGTCCAGCCGGGCTCGATGGACTCTGAAGCGGGCATTTTCGCGATGACCTTCGACATGTCCGGCTCTCGTCTGATCACGGCGGAGGCCGACAAGACTATTAAGATATACCGCGAGGACGATACAGCATCCGAGGAGACTCATCCCATCAACTGGCGACCCGAGATACTCAAACGGAGAAAGTTTTAATAAAAGAGACTGTTTTACCATAAACACTTATTTCTTATTTTTTTTCTGTCTCTTGGCAATATTGATGCGATTAATAGGGATGATGACTAATTTTTGTTTGTTTGTCCGTCACGTAGTGTTAAAAAATATTAAACATGTATTTTTTTTTCTTATTCATAAAATTACGGCGTTACATGGAGTTGAAATTTCGAATGACGTCACGTTATGGTACGTTTTTTTGTTATCTAAGCTATTTTTGTTAAATTGAAGTAAAAAAAAAATACGTATCTAATATTTTTCTATTATCTGACTGACGGACTAATTAGAATTGCTTTTTTTTTACCCAGTCGTCATCCCTATTAAATAGTCTTAATATATACAATTTAAAAAAATATTCCCTCATCTATTATTTGACGACCTCCATAGCATTGGTTCGCACGCCAGTTTCAAGGTGTCGCCATCTTGAGGTCACAGGTTCGATTTCGTACAAAATTGACTGTTCTATACTGTCGAAGGTTTGGGTGTTGAGGCACCTTCGTTGTCGCAGATACCCTCTAATAAGGGGGGTTTTTAGCTACACATTTTGGAATCTGAGCAAAGTATGTGATGTCTAATATATATAAAAACAATAAAAAAATGTAATACAGCTAAATAAGTGACCATCACTGTAAAATAATGTTCCTTGAAAATAATTTTTTCATCAATTCCCCTTTATATGTTATTTATGAAAAGCTAATATTAACATAAAGAACCCACCCAAAATAATCGAAAACATGCTCATTGGGAATAACCGACCGGAAAAAAATAAAACTGACTTCAAAAAATATTCAGATGAAGTCTTCTTTAAGGTTTTGAAGTCAGTTTTATTTTATTTTTTAATATAAATGAAAAATATATATTATAATTTTTATTTTTATTTTTTGTTAAAAAAAATAAGCTTCATATTTAAATTTTACATAAAATTGTTCCAAGCATGTTTAATGTTTCAAACATAAACGTGGAATGTGTATATATTCTATATTAATGCTTGTTATTGCCTTAAATATCAACAGATATTTACAAAAAAAAAATTGTGAATTAAATTTTTTAATTATACATAATTTTTAAACTCAATTTTTATAGATTTTGTCTTTGAAATATATTATAAAAAAATACAATTATAAACTTTATCTACGCCCGAGCAATCGATCAGGTCTACGCTTTTTATACATTAAAGCACGTAAGCCTGCCAGCAAGCTTTAAATTTGTTCATTAAAAGTTTATCATACACAATTTATTTCAATTCAAACAACAAATATCACAATCTGAAAAAAAAATACATTAATTGTGCAGATTTTTTAATCTGTTAAAATAGTATTATCAAAGCGTACACGTAAAGTTAACTGATAGAAATCCTATTTTGGAATCATTAACCTCAATCTTAAAAATTTATTGGTTAAGTCTAAGCGCAAATAATATTATGCTGTGATATGTTAATAAAAACCTTAATAAGTGATCTCTAAACGGTGCAGTTTTAAAAATAGTATTTTTTTTTAATTTATATTATTTGACAATAAATACCGTTTAAAGCCAGAGTTTTTCGAATTGAGAGAGCGACTAGTATTCCAGTCTAAGTAGTAAGCACCTACAGTAAAGCACAACCAATATAACTTTCCGACGCTCAGAATGCTCTATTTCGAAGTGACACAAATCAAAATGGAGCACGAAATTTAGTACATTATATTTTCCTTCACCATCAAAATTTGTAGATATTAGCTACCCAAACGAAAATTAGTGGTACGTTATATTTGTTGTATTTTACTGTACTTTTAGGATCTCTTCTTTAAGTTCTTAACATAAACAGCATGTTTAGGCGGAATTTGCAATGGTGACCTCACATAATCATATCTCGTCATCGAGATCGAACTCTTCAACGGGAAAATCACCGACGGTCACGTAAACAGGCTTCACGAAACCACCGTACTTCGGTGGGCACGTAAAGTACCTCTTGCCATTAACACTGCAATAAAAATAGATAAATGTTGCTACTTCAAGTCGAATTTTAAGAAACTCTGGTCTATGACAAACATGCAATCATACATTTTATAGTATTGACAGTAGCTCGGTGGCGTAGTTTATAAGCGCCGCGGCCCGCGATCGTAGTCGTTAAGCAACTTTCGCAAGGGTCGGTCACGGGATGGGTGACCAAAAAAAATTTATTATCTCGAGCTACTCCGTCCTTCGGAAGGCACGTTAAACCGTTAGTCCCGGCTGCATTTGCATTCGTTAATACCCTCCAATCCGCATTGGGCAAGCGTGGAGGGTCATGGCCCATCCTTAACCATCCAAAAGGAAGGCCTGAGCTCCTGCAGTGGGGACGTAAAAGGGCTGGTGATGATGACGAGATAGTATTGACTTACGATCCGTCATTCTTGCCGCGTGGCTCGTCATACTGCACTCCAATCCATATCCCCTTAGCCCCATCCAGGGTTCCGTTATAGCGGACGGTGGCGCGACGGGTGGGCTGCTGCGGCACGCGCACCTCACACCGGGCACCCACCAGCACGGCCTCGGCTAACCTATTTCAATTTTAAAATTTCAAACAAAACTTAAAGGCCAATTGAACCCTTTATTGGCCTTTGACACCCTTTTTAAACTGGGTCGGAGATCTTTTTTTTTTTTTGCAATTGTAAATATCAAATAAATTATTTAAAATAAAATAGTATTCCTAATGATAAATTAATTATAAAATCCACCAGCCTCAGGTACTCTGAGATGGAAACTGGCTACTGCTCTAACCACTGAGCTACCCAGGACCCAACAAACTGACAAATTTTTCCAGCAGTTGTTACTTTTCACTGCTAGTAAGCATATTTTTATCAATATCCAGGCATTGTGAATACAAAATTAATGAAATCTAAAAATGAATTAGTTTTAATTATAATTAAGGTATAGACTCACTTTGCTTCTTCTTCTAATTCTTTTTGCTGTTGTTCTTTTAGTTTGGTCATCTCTTCTTCGTTGTATTTACCAAGTTTGTTCCGTTGGAGGAAGGAACGGAGAGTATCACCTTTTTTCTCATACTCCTCTTCGGATAAACGAAATCTGTGCAAAAACAAATTACTATTCTCTTTACATGTTGTTATACAGCTATCTGTAATCTATCTATACATAAAAAAAACAATGGTAATATGCAAGATATGTTATGTATCTTCAATATCTATTAAAATTGTTATTATAACTGCTTTTATTATTATTTATGTATGTAATTTTAATCTAAATTTTAAAGTGATGCCAATTCTGTTGTACAAACTAAACTTAGTCTTAATCCCATTAAACTACACTTCCAAATATTTATAGTGCCATTATAAAAATTGGCTATAAAGAATATATATTTTTTTTATTGGACACAATCCTATTAATTGCTCAGATTCCAAGATGAGTCATGCGCTCAAATTGTGGAGTATCTGAAACAATAAATGTACCACAGCACCCAGAATTAAGACAATAAGAAAAGTACATTTTCAACTTTGACCCAACTATGAATCGAACCTAGGAGTTCAGAGTTGGCCAAAATTTGAAACCAGTGTGCGAACCACTTGGCCACGGAGGTCAGTGTCTTTATTTCTTAACTGTGAAAAATAAAAGAAAACTGTAAATATTGAAGATATTAATATTTTTGTGGTATAAATACCTTTCAGCACTCTCTGTACTAGTTAAATCCTTAACCAGTGTAAATTTGTCTATGACATGTATTACCATACCATCATCAATAGGATAAGAGCCAAGAAGTGCTTCATCATTATCAATGTTACATACAAAGTTATTCTTGTTGTCATATAATTTTAGTTGCATAGTTGAAGCTGAACCACCCGTAACTAGCTCTAGTTTTGTCTGAAAGTCCAAAACATAACAATATAATATAAATAGCTGTATAATATATTTAAAACATTTTTTTCAATTATGCCATTCTGAAGTGAAAGAAACAGAATATAATGTAATATCTGTCTCTAATACGTCTTGATTCTGAAAAGTTTATTAAAGAAATAGATTTTACATGTATGAAGAATAGTAATATATAGTCTGGTATTTTGTTACTATTCGGAGTACAAAGCGCAATGCATCATTTCATTGCTACAAAATACAGAATAATTTCATTAGTCGTTAATCAAAATACGGTCTGAATGTATAAATTGCTCAACTTCACTGTTTATTTAAAAGCCGATCAATAAATTAACGTGAAACCAAATGAAAAAATACACAGGTGTGAATCATTCTAACCTTAAATTCAAGAATAGTGATTCCTTTCTTGAATCTCCTTTCCACGGGCGCTGCATCTTCGCTATCAGATTTAGTAATAAGAATGTTTACGTAGTCTTGAGTGACTACTTGAACACCTTCCATAATTTATGATTATTGTGTGACCGCTTTTTTCAGAATATAACCCGAAATCACAACAAACAATATCACAAAGCCCTGTCAAACACTGACGTAAAGTAAGTAGTATTATAATTCGTCCATGGGACAGGCGAAGGAACTAAGCCATACAGCCAAATCTTGGATAATGTACTCTGTGATTGACGTACGTTACTAGAGATGGACATTTAAACGAAAAACACTTAAATAAGCATTCTTTTCTAAATAAGTGCAAAAGCGCTTTTTCACTTAGAAGAAAAATATGCTATTGTACGTCCCGCACAGCTACAAAGATATCACTACCTACTAGCTTCAATCAATATTTCTGTTTCGGCAATTTTCTATTAGAGGGCAGCACATTAACAATTTATGTAAAATGCTGCACTGTATTATATACTATTACGCGTGATATCCAACTAGACTTTTTGCAACAACTTTTTTGGTTGGTTAATCCAAACGCTTTTTTAAACGGAACTTATACTTAAAAAAGCAGTTGTTGTTTCGTTGTTGAAGTAAGTGCACATTGTGTTGAATGTTAATTAACTGCGTAAGTTGAATTGTATGCGTAAATAAATTGCTACCTAAGTAATGACTTTTGTTTATTCCTAAATGAACAATGTAAATAAGTTTGGTTATGAGGTTATGGTGTATATATAAAACATTCTAAATAGTATTGAACTGCGTTAGTTTTAAAATTGTGCAAATAAAATGTCGAGAAACGGTAATAGTATTGTGGTCTTGTATTATACATAAAAACCTGCTTTTTGAATCACCCTATCTATGAAAAAAAAAAACATCAAAATCCGTTGCGTCTTTTTAAAGATTTAAGCATACATAGGAATATAGGGGCAAAGAAAGCGATTTTGTTTTATACTATGTACTGATAACACAATGTTGCACGCTTATTATAACTATTTCTTAACGTCAGTTGAAAAAAAGCTTTTAAAAACGCTTATTAAAAATCGTACAACGTAATAACACTTAAAAATTTTAAGCAGTTATTTCCACGTCTATACGTTACTATCAGTCATTGTGTTCATCGTTTGACAAATTTTTTTTTATGGGAAAGGAATATACCCAAAACGCCACTTCCGATATTTGATGTATTTTAGACCGCATTAAAAAGATATTTTTGAGTTGAATAGTCCATTTATTGAATAAGGCTATAATAACATCACGCTATGACAAATAGGAGTGGTACTTAAATAAAACCACGTAGGCGAAGCCGCTAGCGGATAACTATAATAATGCTGTATAAAAACCCGGCCGGCACACATACCATCAAGTTTTGCACCACTTTGAAAAAATTCGTAGATCCGACGCTGGATACATAAACTTTTGTCACAACTAGCAGATAAATAGTTCGGATAACTATTTTTATCGCTGTCTCGCAAGCTTTTTTTATAATCAAACAAGACTATGCAGGATTCGTACCCGCAAAACCATAAAACTCAACAGAACGTTAGACTATATAAAACTGTTACCTCAAAACAGTTGACTTTAAATCTTATAGTTTATAGTAGAGTTCAAAATCAATTAAGGAAATTTGACTTATGGTGGTAACCTGATGTGCAGCCGTGTGTACATATACTCGACAGGGCACAAGGCCTTAATTTTGCTTATTTTTACGTTAAATCGTATCTCAATATAAGCAACAACAATTTTGGCATTATTTATAAAGTCAATAGCAAATCAGACTATACAAATCTGCCAAAGATCTTTACTCCATTTTCAACTTTAATAATGAAGAATTATTAAAAAAAAAATAGTTCCCGAAATCAAACTAGAACTAGATGACACTACGTTACGTTCTTGATTGCTCCATGACAACCATTCCGGTTTTCTTTCTTTCAAACTAAATTAATTTTTAAAAATTCAATAAACAACTCTTATTTTATTTGTACATTTTCGTATTTGTATTGTTCTATAAGTTTCGAAGTTTGCAATGTTAGTTAAAAGGAACGGAAATGACCATCTTTGGTTCTTTGTTTCCTGCAAAAAATCAACTGTTGTTAGAGCCGCCATCTAGGGTGGTACTTTTTTTAGTGCATTCTTTTTTTAAATACTTCCTCATAGAGTATAAAAACAATTTTCGATTCGTAAATTAAATCGATTATAGCCCTGATCGGCTGATCACTAATCTTTAGCGGGGAAGGCGGAAAAATTAAGCTCTTTAAGTCTTTCTCATAAAGTTATATTAAAGGTTTATTGTACGATTACTACAATACTCAGTATTAAAGTAAATACGCATGCGGACCTTTCAAGTAGATTTAATATTAATAATATTTATGTATCTTGTAAACGATTATTAGTTTACAGTTTTTAGTTTTAATTTTATTATTATTTTTCCCGTGATGTTTAATTTCATGCCGGATCCTTCAGGTACAATATAAAAAGGTGTGTAAAGATGCTTGAATAAGTAGAGTTAAAAATCGACATATTTTGGAAACCTGACGTTAAAAGGAAGTTTTAGCGTTGTAACTGTGAAAATAATATTTTGGGTTAAATAGTAATAAAATTTATTGATATGCGCAGAATATCTATATATTCTGGCGGTAAGTAATGACGACATATTTATATTTTCATCAATGATACAAAATTAATAAAAAACTATATTTTTCAACGTTTGTAGGCTGTCCACGTCGCCTAGGCGCGAAAAGAAACACCAATAAGAGCACGTGACGTCTCATTTGTGGGAAAAGAGCGGCAAACATTCAAAACGTAAAATAATTTTGGAATTAAATCTTTTATAGAGTGGAAGGTAATGATTTAATAAAATACTAAGTGGGAAAAGAGCGGCAAACATTCAAAACGTAAAATAATTTTGGAATTAAATCTTTTATAGAGTGGAAGGTAATGATTTAATAAAATACTAAGATGCCTCCCAGAGTTAAACGGCGGCAGTATAGTATAGCTAGTTTCACTTTTTTACTTGCCATCAAGTGCTGCATCTATTCGTAAGAAAAGATGTTCCGATTACATTTTAACAAATGAAGTCGGCTGGTTAATATTGAATTAACTGCAGAAAACCTTAGCCCGACTTCAATGTTTCTGAAAACATTTAACCACTTTTAAGATAAGTATTATTTTATTTTAAATTTGAAGTCGGTTCCATTTTTTTTTAAGCTTTTATTTCATTTATTTTAGTGATATTTTGAGTTTTGGGGTCACAAACATCACGCATACTTAACGCAAATTTAAAACTTATATGGTTTTCTCATAGAATCCAATGGCCACACGATCACGGTATATCTGAACCACACGGTAAGCACTAGCTCTCAAATAATAAAAGAATCATCAAAATCGGTTCACCCAATAAAAAGTTACGAAGGTAACAAACTAGAAAAAAAAAATACATATGGATTGAGAAACTCCTCTTTTTTGTAGTCGGTTAAACAAAATAAATAAGCTTTTTTCAATAATAACGCGCTAGTCAAGTTTTGTTAATTCGGCGGTGTTTCTGCAGCTGCGGCCATTTTGCGCGGAAAATAAGTTATATACAAGTAACACCTATATTTCTATTTTCAAAATTTTACTCTAGTGCCGCTGTTTGCAGGTCTATGGTGTTTATTGCTTAATAAATAAATAAAAATAAACGTGCCTACAGCAGACCGTCTAACTCTAGCCATAGGATACGACGAGATTTTATGACATTTCGTTTCATGTCACTACTCTGACATGTCGTTTGGTGGATAAATTACTAACGGTCAGTTGAACAAACTCCCATTAAGGTTTACTGACGCCTTTCAGCTCTAATGAATATCATATTTGTATGGCTAAAAAAATTATTTTTATTTTGAAGCAACATTACCCATATTCATTAATGGACGTTTGTGCAACTGTCTGTAAGTAGGTAACACTACTATCAGAATCATTTTATTTTTGTTCGTTCGTCGTTACTAAAGTACACGTCAAAGTTGTAAAATGCGGTTCATATCAACAAGAGTTCGTGTGCCGCGTACCAGCGTTGTAGAGGTAGGGGAGCAGTAATATAAATGGAATTAAAAGTATCATTAAGTTAATTATTTTAAATATTAGAAACATTTATAGAGCGAATTAACAATGCAAATCTATAAAACGATTCACGTGAAATTATTCTTTACAATTGCAGCAACAGAACATCGAAATGTAATAAAATTGCATCTTGAGTACTGCAGCGAAGAGGCGCGCAATGACAGGTCTGCAAATCTTTGCTGTAATCCAAAGAAAACACAAGAAATACTAACAATGTGTGCAAAGAGACCTGACGCCTTCTGCAGCATAACCCTGTACGCCAACTTCCTCTACAATGAAAACGTGTGTAAAATTTTAAAAATTTATTGAAGCACAATTATGACAAACATTGAAGCATGCGTTTTTAATTTATAAATTTCTTAACTATGACCGAACATAAGTGTTTCAATATCTAAATATTTGTGAAACCACGAAATTATAAGAAACCCAAAACATTTAATTTATAAAAATGTTACATATAAACAACTAAATGATGAAACATATACATAGTACGTGGTACGCAAAGTACTTTCGTACGTAAAAAGAAATATTTTTATGTCACTCTACTCTACTTGATGTGATGACTCTAAAATATGACCCCTATTTATATTAAAACATTTACGTTAGTATCTATCAAATAGATTGTAATATTCAATAGTGCTATCATTTTTAAATCCTCTCCTACCTTCACCGCATATTTAAAGATTATATAAAAGCGAAACTAATTTAATGATTGCCTGAAGAATTCATCATACATTTTATTTAGATAACGACGTAGGGCGCATTTCATAATCCGCTCAAAGTTTTAAAATAATAGTTATTTTACAAACTAAAGCTATATAGAATAGGTATATAATATAATTATCGTCGAGTCCGAAGAAAATGATAACAACAAATCCGCCTTTTATGGGCGAAATAATAAATCATATCCGGTAAGTAGTCACTGTTTCCAATCTTCTGTTCCATATTTTCCTTGTGGATATTTCCAGGGCTGATTCGGGTGTCACGGGCGGCCGTCGAGTTGCTTTGCACACATTGCTAGCGATATTAAACATGTCGAAATGGATGTATTTTTATATTTAATAAATAATCTATGTGTGTACTATAAAAATATATATGTACTAAAGTGAAATGATCTTTTGGAAGTATATTTATAATCTTATAATCTTTAATTGAATATCCATTTCGACATAATTAAATAACAATAAAAACACGCCCGTCAAGTACAACTTTGCTGTTAAAAAATGTTACCGTCAAATATGTTTTGTAAAAATAATTACATATTTTATAAATCAGTCAAAATGATAAAAAATACAAAAGAATAGATGAGTGAATGAGCAAAAAAAAGATGTTTACATTAATGTGGATATGATTGTACTAGACGGACGTGTGAGGTGTATCATCAGTAAGCGACCGTACCTGGCCCGGGTCACTCCACTTGAGCGCCCAGGCTGGTTCCTCTTCTGCCCGCGCCCGTAGACAAACAAAACACCATTTCGGTAACCAATAAGGCACTCGTATATTTTAACTTTTGATTTTGTATAAAATTTAATCTTTGGCGTTATTATGTCGCGTCTCGAGTCTCGGTTAGACGTGCTCTCTATTAAAATATATCATAAGGTTCATTTTAGCGGGCGTGTAGCCGAGACTCGGCGGCGCGGTTATCCTCTTCGGGCCCCGTTCGCGTCACCCGAATCATTTCCACTGGAAATAACCCACTTTCCATCTTCGCCGGTGTCAAGCGGCTCCTTTCGCGTCGGCGGTCGCCGGTTCGGTTTCCTCTGTTGTTTTGGCTTCTTTCACTTCATCGAACATATCGATAGTTTTTACGTTCTCATCAATCTCGTGGTTCACTACCGGCTCTGTAGGTATATTGTCCTCTAAAGGCGGCGGCATCGAGAAACTCGTGTCTATAGCTTCGTTGCCATCATATAGACCGCCTACTGGCTCTTTGTCAGAAATATCGTTATGAATAGGCTCGCTTTCTACAGGTAAAGCAGATTCGCTTTCTCGATAGCTTTGTTCGCTACTTTCCTGCACGAAACTATCTCTCGCTTCATAATTCTTTTCATCTGAATGAGCTTCTTGTTCGCTGCTGATATCGTTCTTATGCATCTGTATTTGTTCTTGGTTGTGTTCTGGTTCGGACACTCTATTAATCTCAACTGAATCTCCTTGATCCCTATGAACTGAACTCTTAACCATTTGTTGTTCATGACTAGGTTCCGTCACTTCGCTAGGGACATTTTCATCATTACCGACTTGGTTCTCTACATTATCTTGTACTGGTTCTTGGTCTTGAGCAACAGTTTCATCGGCGGCACCCCATCTAGACTTTCTGTCTTTATCCCTTCTAGAGTTGCGTTCCTCCCTGGGCGGTTCGTTGGAGATATCTTTCGGCGTGTCCTTGGAATTATCTCTCGTGTGATCTTTAGAAGCATCCTTCGGGGCATCCTTAATTCCATCTCTGGGACCGTCTCTAGAACCTTCTCTAGATCCCTCTCTTGGTCCGTCTCTTGATCCGTCTCTAGGTCCATCTCGAGATCCGTCCCTGGGTCCATCCCTCGGTCCAGAATCTCTCTGTGGTCGGGATCTGTCGTCGAAATTCCTCCTCCTGTCGTTACGCTCCCTGAATCTATTGTCTTCGTGATCTCTATTCCTTCTGTCCCTTCTTCTGTCGTCCCATTCATTCCTTCTGTCCCACTCCCTGTCCCTGTCGCGGTCGCCATTCCATCCCCTGTCGTTGAACTGTTCTCGATCTTCAAACCTTCTATTGTTTCTGTCGAAGAATTCAGGCGGTCCTTCGAATCTAGGTGGGCCGTCGAAAGGTCGCTCTCCTTCGAACTGTCTCTGTCTGTCGAAAGGTGGCCTTGGGCCATCGAAAGGTGGCCTAGGACCGTCGAAAGGTGGCCTCGGTCCGTCAAACGCAGGCCTCGGTCCATCGAACGCGGGTCTAGGTCCGTCAAAGGCCGGCCTCGGTCCGTCGAATGCAGGCCTCGGACCGTCGAACGGTGGCCGCGGGCCGTCGAACGGTGGCCGATTGATCCCATCGAACGGCATTCTGTTAAACGGTTGTCGATCGAATCGCGGCGGAGCATCGAACATAGGACCATCAAAAGGTGGCCTCTCGAACGGAGGCCTATTGAAAGGTGGGCCCATGCCATTGAAGCGAGGCGGTCCATCCATCCATGGCCCTGAAATATCGGTAAAGTACAATTAGACTATAAGTTTTCAAAGAAATGTTGAGATCGAGGGTGGTTGTTTTTTTGACATCCTACCTGCCATTCCCGGTCTAGGTGGCCCTCTCATTCTCAACTCTGTAATCGAAAGCATTTTTATTCAATATTTGTTTTCTTGTACTAATCACAAATCATATATCGTAAAGATATTGTACTAAAAATATCCAAAACTCGTCAACCATCAAAAGACAAAAATAGAGAAAGCATTGAATTCGCCAATAAAGATATTGAAGTCCCACTAATTGCTAATACGCTGGTACTTAATTAACACTCACGTGACGTAATTTGAAAATGGAAAGTTCAGATTGCACAAAATGCAACAATTAAAATGTTTATTGCTTTATTTAATAATAAATTATTGCCATGATGGGGCAATAATAATTTTATAAGCAAATCTTGATTTATCAAATTAAGTTAAACAATTTTTTGAGAGAGGCCAATTTATATGTTAGTTTTAAGGTAAGTATATAAAATAATAACACAAAAACCAGAAGACTAAATTTAAAAACATTGCCAAAAGTATAAATTAAATGAGACGTAAGTAATATTTATTTGTCATTAAAATCAGGTCCACTTACTGTGAAAATCATAAAAGCTAGCAAATATTATTTAACAACGAAACTTAACAATAACAATAGAAAACAGAACATTATAAGAGCGTGGTCACACCACGATCTAATTTAAGGCTGGCCGCATGAACACGTTTTCCGTCTTCGATTTCCGAATTCGTTTTCCGTATTCGGACATCCGAATGCATGGATTAAGTAGAAAATACATTAACTGACGCACATGTTCGCTTATTTTCCATACGCAACAAATTCCATACGTACGTTTCGAATGCAAGCCGGCGCGTTCGGAGAAACGTATTGAAAAAAACCTAATGACGTCATGCGGAACGCAGTGCTTGCATACATTTTGTTTGTGTCGGCGCACACGTTCGGAAATTTGTATTCAGTATCGCGCCCGCGCCACGCGCATCGGACGTATTGTTTGTATTTGTGACGCATACAATCGCAACACGATAATGTGTGAGGCAGAATCATTAATATTGGCTGTGAAAAATACCCTTGCCTGTGGAATATTCATGACAACGACTATCACAACAGAGATGTCAAAGATACCGACGTTTCTTTTTCTTCTTTATTGTTAACAGAAATGCAATTGCTAATAAATCGTCGTCCTCCATCGTCGTGCGTTCATCACGCTATCACTATCTGTACTGACGTGTATACATTTCGAATAAAGAAAAACGAACGTTTGCGCTAGTCTCACGGACTCACAAATCGAAATTCCGCATTTGGAAATCGAATACGGAAAACGTGTTTATGCGGCCAGCCTAATACATGTCAACTGGTAATGGATTACGTCACCAAAATGGAGGCCATACGCATTAGCAATTTGTGGGGATTATAAGAGTATATATTTTTATTTGATTTATTGACATTTGAATGTGACACTTTATAATCAATATTAAATAAAACATAATACACATCGTCTAACTGTAGATTACTATTATCTATACTAATATTATAAATGAGAAAGTTACTACTTGTGTGTGTAAGTTTTCACATCTAAACTACTGAACTAATTTTAAAGAAATTTGGTAAACAAACAGAATGGGCCTTGGGAAAGAACACATAGTATTATAGGTTTTATCGCGAAATCTGTTTTTTTTTTCAGTAATAAAATTCTTAAATCTTTGCTGTGCTATGAATAAACTAGGTTTCGCGTCAGAGTAGATTTAGGCTAAAATTGCAATTTTAATATTAGTCCAAATTCATATTATACAGAGAATAAGCAAACCAACTACCTTCTAAGAGTAAATATAACTGCTGTAGAACCACATACTAGGTTAACCTGTGCTAAGTCTCCGTTTAATAATATGAATTTTGACTAATACTAAGTGCAGTCTCATCGTAAATTTACTCCAACGCTAAAACTTATTTATTAATAACACTCCTAAGGATTACTTTATATTGTCTAACTGTAGATAGCTATCAGTAAATATATGTATAGATGACTCACCGGCTCTGAAGGGTGCCAGATGCGGGGGCGGCATCCTGGGCGGCAGCTGCGTCCACCCCCCCGCGCCCGCCGCCCCGCCCCCGCCCGCGCCCGCTACTAGCCCGGCCCCGGCTTTGTCGCCGTCTGCGAATCGTACAAGTGTTCGAGGGGCCATTGAATAAGTTATTCTACTCTGATTTAAGTATTACTTGTAAGTGATTATTTTAATTACGAAAAAAAGTTATTAAACAAATATTTCTGAAAAATAAGCACATTATCTTGCATTAAAATTAAATCAACATTTAAATTTAATTTATACTCGCAAATACGCTGTCCGACATATTTATAACGTCATTCCGATACGTACAAACAGATGCACAGAGTAGTAGATTAAGAGATTTAAAACAATAATAGTGCCATCTAACGGTCGATTATGAAATGAAAACCATCTATATTTGAACTATATTAAACATTTGAGAGAAAAAAAATCCCTTCTTTTCGCAAAATGTTTTAATTCCTAACATACGTTGGCATGCATGCTATTCAATCAATTCTATCCATAGAAAAGGTCTGTGCTTTAGCAGTGGGAACACTAACAAGCTGGTGGTAATACAGGCATAATTATTTGGACTCCTTGATAGGTTTTTTTCACGTATAATATAATGTACTATATATGTCGAGATTAAAGAATTACCGTGCTCGCTATATAAGCGATAATGTACAGTTGGGTTATTATAAGAAGCCACACTTGACATCTATTAATCTGAACTTGAACTTGATCTGACGCGAAACCTTAAAAATTTCGATTAATGTAAGGAATCGATTTGGTTTTCTAAGCAATATGAATCGAATGCAGTTATTGTGAAAAAATATCAATTTCGACATTGTAATAGAAATAACAAAACGAAAGAAAAACGCGCAGTCATTATTCACAACTACACAGATTAAAGATTAAAAATTTGGTAATTAGCGTAGTGCAAAAACTTAATGGTAGGCATAAAGCAAAACATATAGGGACATAAGATAGCGAATTGTGCGTCAAAAACTGTTTAATTAATTTTTCACAAACAAAACATTACAATTAGGGGATCGGACAACTTTCTAAAAACTTAAATTAATAATTATGAGCCCTTTTCAAAAAAAAAAAAATTTAGGTACACGGCGACTCGGAGGACGTAACTTCATTTGTGGGGTAAAAAAAGAGATTTTAAATGAATAAATTATCATCTGCAGTATAAGTTTAAGTTCACAAATAAATATAACAGTAAAATGACCCATGTAACCTGTTAACAGTCAAGTACTAAATCAATAAGATTATTTTGCACTTTTGAGTGTTTCCCGCGCTTTTTCTAGATACTTTTATTACAAATTGACCCAAATATTGAAAAATTATACTTTTGTTTGAATAATCTTTATACTTTTGTAACATTTTAACCACATAGAATTTAATTTATGATGTAATGGCTGTCCGATTCCTTATTCCATCAGCTACAAAGTTATGTGTCCTTTATACAATAGAAAAAACGGTGATTTTTTGGGGTAACTTTGTTATTTTGTAACTAACTTTGAGAAAATTTTGATAATTCACTTGTCTAATGTAACAGAATCCTTACAGCTAATTTAAATTGTTTTCTTAGTATAAAACTTGTTGAATTTTTAAATAATATTTTATAGTCTTTCCTCCTTAACCATCCACACTAGTTATTTACTGCAAATTAACTGCTTTATTTTTTTTTTCATCGACTGATGATAGTTTTGTTATCTGCATTTATTTGGATAGTTTGTATAATATAGTATGTATATATATTTTATTATTTGTGTAGTATGTATAGTACGCCTATACAAGTATATGAAGTTATGTTTGTTTAATGTATATTTATTTAATTAAGCTTTATATATTATAGAAGATATAATATATTGTAATCATAAGATTATTACTTTTAACTTTTAAGTACCCGTACCCCGTACTTTTAAGTTGTGAACTGACTTAAAAGTATGGGGGTGTGCCCCATACTTTTAAGTTAGTTCATCTCTCCATCCAAAGGTTGTCTGGAAGAGATCGCTGTATACTGATAAGACCGCCGATTGTGACACATTGGTTAATATTGTTCTATATATGTTTTGTATTTGGTGTTTAGAATAACTATTTACCATCCATAAGAAGGGCCTGACGCCAGGCAGTGGGGACGTAAAAGGGCTGATGATGATTTGACTCACCCTCGTGCATAGGTGGTGGCCTGTCCAGCAACGGTGGTCGTTCCACTCTCAAGTCTTCTCGCGGTTCCTCCTTATCCAGGAAGTCATCCCTCGGTTTATCTTCCTGTCTCGCGGCAGGTTTCCCGTTCGCCATCTCCCACAGGCGTTCTTGTAGGGATTTCTCTTGACCCGGTTCTGCACTTCTGTGCGGTGATTTTTCTTTGCTGCGTTCCCTAAGATGAGGACATGATGTATGAACCGCAATTGTAGTAAATAGCAACAATAATAATAAAAGGGATGAACATTGATTTTATTTGTCTGCCAGGTAGAATGTTGAAATATATTTTAAAAAAAATATACTTTTAAAATATTTTTCGTATACATTAAATTACGGCGATGCATTGAGTTAAAATGTTACATCACGCTTTAGTACATTTTCTACAAAACTATCACGCTAAGCTATTTCTTGTTAAATTAAAGTTTAAAAAATAAACATCTAATATTTTTCTATTATCTGACTGACGGAGTAAATGGAATTTCTTTTTTTTTTTCACTCAGTCGTCATGCCTATTATTGTAACAACATACTGCCAAAAAATCATTGTCCTCCTTACTTACCATAATGTTACTTACTGAAATTTTCCTAATTGCTATAAACTTTATTATTATGAAATTAATATAGTTTACATGATTTTGGTAATTATTATTAAATGATTATGTTATCATTATAAGACCATATTTTCTTTTTTTTTTCTCTCTCTAATTATAATGTATTGATCTGGTAATGACATAGTTTTTGTAAATTGAAAATCTGGTGAGTTTCTTGCTCGTTCTTCTTATCAGCCAAAAGACATCCTGAACGAGCGGTAGGGAATAAATGTTGGACGATTCAAAAGTACTTTTAAGAAGTCTATTTGAATAAAGATTATTTTGACTTTGACTTTTGACTTAACAATGTATCAGTGGACTAGGCAGTAGATTAAATGTATATCGCCTTTGGTTACGATCACAGGGTCGGTAGAAGTACGGCAATGCTAGCAAACATTTAAAAAATGGCGGCAATTGCAAAACAACTTTGACGTTTAGGTTTGATGATTGAAATAGTAAACTACTGGTTCCTGGTGAGAGACCGCTATTTCCTATAAGTTCAATGAGGTTATTTCCCAATAAGATCAATACTAACATCCATTCAATTTTGAAATAAACGCACAAGGATAGTGTACACTTATCGGTTAACTTAACTTACACAAAATACATTATCTATTTATTAACCCTTCCTTTACCACGCGCTTGCATGCAAGCGCTAAAAAAAAGTGCTCCGTTTACCATGCGCTTGTATACAAGCGCGCGGTCAGAGGTCTAGAAAAACCTTTATTACAATTAAAATAAGTGTAGAATACGTATGGTAATTTTTTTTCTCAATAGAGTGAAACATGACCTATTCATTTAAATTCTTAAACTAGACTCACTCTTTAAACGAAAGACAAAAAAAATAATTAAAACCGACCGTTAGCCAATGGCGCGAATCCCTTGGTACGTGACTGACCTGTCGTTGTTAAAGTGCCGGTAATTCAGTGATTCTGGAAATTTATTGTAATAAATGTAAGTAAAATGTTATATTATTACTATTTTAGAATGTTTCTTTTGCTATAAACTTATCCAAAAGTGTTTTCATTACGTATTTTCGATAAATCGAGTCTCACAGTGGCGTAGGTCTAAAAGCGCGCGAACTCTTTTTTTTTAACGTTCATATTATATGATAAAACCATAAAAATCTATAATAATCGCATATAAGTATAAAGATAATTTCACAAAGAATCCGTTTTTGTATATAGTTTTTGAATTCAGATAACTTTCTTTCGTAAAAGACTAAAAAATATGCATGACGTAATCCGCGGCAAAAATTCGTTTTTACCTACATATTACAAATAAAAATCATAACATTCATACATCATTACAAAGGTCATTTGTCGAGAAATAATTTTTAGCATATAATATTTCCATTTTCATTTATTTATTTCGTAAAGAAATTTCAAAATCAACAGACATCAAATCAGAAACATACAAACAATAAACGCCGTTAGTGCATCGTAATAGAGTTCATTATCGGTTACCGATTCGCGTTTATCGTCTATAAGAATAACCTTGAACTACATTACTACTGACGACCTAGATCGGTATGCACGTGAAACTTTTTTATTCAGTATTATATTATGTGTTATATATCATTGAAAAGGTTTCTTTTTACACTATATAGATATGTAAGAAGATAGTTAATTTTTTTATCGTGTATTAGGTAAAGTTAGCTGTAATACGAATTCGCGATTTCTGTAGAGTATCGTAAATATGCTTTCTATAAAATATACTTTTATAAAAAATGAAGAATAAAAATATAAATGTCTTTTTTCAGTAATCTATCTATATAACAAGAAAAACAGGAACAATGTAAGTGTTATAATACTTTCACAAACAAAATATCAAAATCGTGTCAAGATCAGGAGAAAAAATGGCGCGAAAGAAAGTATGCTACTTTCAAACGCGTGATTATTGATTTTTTACTTTAGAAACATACGTCTTTTATACTTCGATTATATTGGTTATATATTGATAATTAAAAATATATATAATTATTTATGTTTATTATTTTAATTATCGATTACACACCTTTTAATTTCCAACCGCCGCCAGATATTTACTTTCGTGCGAACAATGCTCGCTCACACGACGATAATAAATTTATCACTCATCATAAAAGTATCAAATGACTTTAAGTTGTTTGGGTGATTCATAAGCTTCATAGAACTATAACTATTATCGCTGTGTGTTTACATTAGCCGGCGAGAGAGCAATTTAAAGGCGTCAAGTGGCTCAAGTGCCGGTGTCAGATTACCGATAACGGTATTCGGTGCTGAGGCGCCGATTTATGACCGCGGTAAAGGAAAGGTTAATCCCGTGAATTGCTAATGCGCTGGGACCTTGTCATATTAAAATCCGCGTGACGTTATTTAAAAATACAAAGTATAGTTAGCACAAAATGTAAAAGATAAATTGTTTATTAATTATTTACTAATAATCCCCAAAACATTGTTATAATAATTTATCAACTTTAGATTGTTAATTTCGAAAAAGGCCAATTTCTAGGTTTATATTGAGGTATATGAAAAAACATAACTTTTAATAAAACGATAATCAGAGGAGAGGACGATTTTTAAAACATCACCAAAAGTAATTATGAAATGAGACTTCAGGTATATTTATTTTTAATAATAACAAAAATAATGTGTGATCTCAACATAACCCAACTCAAGTGTACTCGTCAACCAGTGTTTATTTGCTAACGGTACTGATTTTGGTTGAACACATGGCGGCCAGGCGCATTAGCAATTTGCGGGGATTACACAAAGTGTACATTGCAACAAATATACAAAAAATACAACTTATACAGTGAAATAATATATACTGGGTTACCTGTTATTATCTCTAGATGAGAATCGATCTCGGTCCCTATCGCGATCTCTGTCGCGCCTATCTCGACCCCCTCTATCACGATCTCGATCTCTGAAAATAGACAAAAAATTTAGAACTCCGCTATCTACTACTTGCACCATCGACCATATATTTATTTTGGATTAAAAGACTAGCAACAAAGTAGAAAAAAAAATACTAAAAAATCTTTGGTAACGCTATATTGCCTCGGATCTAGGTGTTGGTTGTTTCAGGAACTTCGTGATATAAAGGCTTTCGCTACTCATCTTGCAATCTGAGCAATGTATGTTATTTAATATTTATTTATATATGTCCATAGTTTGAAAATCTACTAATATTTTTAATAAGCTAGTTAGATCAAGTGACAATTAACAAGTTTGAAACAAATTGACAGTTTCAATACTATATGTCGCATCATCTTTACAAAGATCGTTTGATTTAGTTTCTTTTATTTTAATTGCTAGTTACTCGATTACTTAATTACTCGATTTTAGAGAAAGCGTGATCATCGATCCTTTTAATTTTATTAGAATGGTGACACTGACTTTGACAGTGCGTTAACAAAATGCAAGTTGCCGCCATTTTGGCACACATTCTGTTTTAAAGATAGTTCTCCGATATGGACCATTTATTTGGGCTTCGTAATAGCTATATATCGTATATGTCATAGAAGTCTTATTCAATTTCAAAGCCGATGAAGAAGTAACTCATGAATATTCTTTTTTAATAAAAACCTCACCTATCCCTATCCCGCCCTCCTCTATCTCTGCCACCTCTTTCCCTGTCCCTCCGATCTCTGTCCCCTCTATCCCTCCTGTCTCTGTCTCTATCCCTGTCCCTGTCCCTCCTGTCTCTGTCCCTCTCCTTCCTGTCGTCGTCCTGTTTGTCTTCTGGTGGCGGTTGGGAGGCATTGAACGGGGGCGGTTCAGATATATTGAATCCAGGTGGCGGTTCTGATGCGTTGAAGACTGGCGGAGGTTTCGATAGGAGGGCTTGTAGCTGTACACAAAAACCATTACGTATTAGAGCTAGATGTCGCAAGGGTTTTCTCGGTCTGCGACACGGTTATTAACCAACTTTTAAAATGGTCGGTCATAGGATGGGTGACCTAACATTTTTTATCTCGAGATCTTCATTGCTTCGGAAGGCACGTTAAGCCGTTGATCCCGGCTGCATCTGCAATCGTTAATATCCACCGATCCGCACTGGGCCCATTCTCCCTATTCGATTCCTGTATAGGGAAGACCTGTGCTTCAGTAATAGAGACATTTATAGGCTGGTGATGATGTGATGATGGCAGTAAAACCCAAGCGATATGCCATACCAGACAAAGAGACCGCTTTTTTTTTATAAGTGGTAGGTATATTTCATAGGGTTGTGATGCGTGAAGGTGTGATTTGGAACAATAATATTATCTATGTTGTTTCGCATTTTTAATCCTTAAGTTTAACAATTTTAATACTTAAATGACATTTAACAGTTAGTTTTTCTCGTAACTTCGTCCGAATAAATTATATACAAAAACTTCTTTCACATACATTAACAAACAGAATATGATTTTTAAATTGGTTCAATAGTTTTCTATCATATTTAGTGCAAACAAACAACCTAAACATTCCATTTACCATGTATTTAAATATCGAATAGACTCGCTTTTGTAACTGCATTTCAAAAAAGAATCTTTGAACATACGGGACAAGACGGGGCCAAGTGATTTTTACCATACATATCAAACTTATCATTATGATAAAGTAAAAGATTTTTAAAAACTTGCTATCACTTTTATTATGCAAATTTCTTTTTCGATCTCTATTACTACTCTTTTTTTACTTTTTAGGGTTCTGTACCCAAACATAAAACGGGAATCCTATTAACTAAGACTTCACTGTCTGTCTGTATGACCATTTGTCACCAGGCTCGATCTTATGAACCGTGAAAGTCAAAATTTTCACAGATGATGTATTCTGAATGCGAGCCAACAACAAACGTGATATTTTGCTGTCACCACGCTGTATCTTATGAGCTGTGACAGTTGTGCAGTTGAGATTTTCACAGACGATATATTTCTGTTGCCGCTATAACATCAAATACTAAAAAAAAACAGAATAAAATAAATATTCAAAGGGTCTTCCATACAACAAACGTAATTTTTTGCTCGTTCTCGGTAGAAACACGCGCCATCCGACTCGCACGTTGCCGGTTTTTTTTTTAACCAGATCTAAAAAATTACAACTTAGTTCTTGGTTTTTTGCCGGATTTAATTTACGGATTCAAGAGGCCTGGAACACTAACAGCCAGTTGCACACACGTCTATCAAAATTTTCATTAGTTTAAAACGACTTAAGAGCGACATTACAAGACGACATTAGAGCTTAAAGTCGTCATTAAGTATTAATGGACGTCTATGCAAAGGACCGTAAGCCTCAAAATATTATATTCTATTTAATTACCTGTTCGGATAGCGGCGGTGATGTGAGGGACGATTCGTGGTTGTCTTCAGTGTCCAGGTCCATGGCGTCGTCGCTGGGAGGTTCTATACGCAGCTGTTGTTGTTGTTGTTGCTGATGCTGATGCTGCTGTTGTTGTTGCTGCACTTGTTGCTGTTGTTGCTGCTGCTGCTACACGAAGTAAATGAAAAATAATTCATTTCTTTTCACCGAAGTTGTAGAGTAGGTTTTTTATATACTATGAATAGGAGTACAGATTCACTCTAGTATGAAAAGCTGGTGCCTGCTATAGGTTTTCAAAAGAAACCGGTTACACGGTAAAATATATAACTCGAGAGTGTATTCTATTTGTTCTCAAACAAAATTTGGAATAATTTGAAAACATTCTTATATATTCTGAGTATTAGATATTAAAAGTGGTTTACTTTAAATAAAATATCAAAACATAAACAACAAGTTTTTCTTTTTGTCATTCATATGCAACATTAACTTTATTTATTAATTAAGCAGCTATCATATAAAAAGAAACACAATATGTATACAAGAAACCTATAATTGGCTTTATAAATAAGTTTGTAAGTATGAACTGTAACAAGCTGTTGGTTTCAATAAATAAATAAATAAAAAATAAAAAGTAAACATTGAAATCAAACAAGTCAGGTGTTCTTTCAGAACCAGTGAAAATTTGTAAATTATAGCCTTCGACACTGTCGTCTCATATTTTGCCGACTCCTGGCCTAGAGTAAACAAATAGATTAAGAGTGTTGTATACCTGTATATTGGGCGGAGGAGTAGAGATGGTGGGCAGCTGCAGCGGCAACCCGCCCACGCCCACCAGTCCGCCCACGCCCACGCCCACACCCATCAGCCCACTCAGGAAACCGCCCACCATGCCTGTACACATTTATACATCTATATATTTAAAATAAAGTCGTATTTGTAACACCATTTATAGCTCGAGAACGACTGGACGGTTTTTTATGATAATTTTTTTTTTTGGATTTATCGTCGTCGGGAAACGAATTATAAATATTAAAATATTATATTTTATCAATAAAAAAAAAATTAAATAGGCGAAGCATCAATGATAATGATGATGTGTTATAATAAAACTCAACTGACAGCTCACATTTATTCTGACAGATCACATTCATCGTTCTTTTGATAAAAAAGAATTTATCTGACAGTTTACGTAATGTTGTCTATCACCCGGTGTCGGAGTTAAAGTTAAGCATATCTCAAACTGTACTTAAACGTCACTTCAACAGGTTTTCGTTTATGAATTAACTATTTGTAATAACTTTTTGCCTTGTGAAAAGTAAAAAAAACATAAGTTATTAAGAATAATCAGTGTAGATTTTGTAGTAAGAAAAACGTCCAACCAATAATTTGAATATCCAGAGATATTGACGCACCGCGATAGGTCGTATTGTTATGTTTCTTGAATTATATTATATATTTTCGGCAGAAATTTAATCTAAAATCAATAATAATTAAAGTCTACTTTGGTTATGCAATTATTTGTGAACAGCTATGTCTTTATGCCATTATTGCATAATTTTCAAGTACAAAGTTTTAGGCGGTATTATAATTTAAGTTTTTAATAAAAGCGTGAAGTTCTTAGAAATGACCATATCTAATTTGTAATCAGTTTGCAAAAACACATCGAAATATAAATAAATAGTTAAAGAGGATATCTCACCCGGTTGGGGTATCGTCTGTGGCGGCATACCGTGAGGGAACCGTAACAGAGGACCTCCGGGAGTCAAACCAGCATCAGGTTGCAATCCTGCAACAAGAAATGTTTATATATATTTAGTTAACAGCACATCGGGTTATTTAAATCTGACAAATTTCTGCAAAAGAATATATTATATACCTTATACCTTAATGCGTTGAAATAAAATTCAAAATTAATTATTTTATATTTTGAGAATTTGTAGTAGCTGACGTGTTCCTGCGAATATATTGCTCCAATCTCAAAGCAAGTAGTTAATGTACTCGTATTATATAAATCGTGAAGTAAATTGTACACTGACAAAATGGGTTACAATAAAACGACGAATTTAAACATTTAACGTGACAAAGTGTAAATTCAATTACAAAAAGCCATATTTATATAGCGGGATAAATTATTTAAATATTTTTATTTAATAGATATACATATCATATAATATTTCATATAATAAGTAAAAATCTGTCATGGCGTCGCTATGACGTCACGGCCCTCTTAAACTAATATCGTTTTATGTACGCATAAGGTTTCATTCGCTAAGTTCTGATTCGAGTAAGAGAGGTGAGACGTCATGCGCTATTTGCGGTCAATTTAAGCAATATTATAAAGTTTAAAAGTGTGATTATCGGTATTATTAATAAAGAAAACAGTATCAGAAAAAAATATATAATATGTATTTATTTTCGTTTACTGTCCACACCCGTGTTACGTTCTTTAGTGATCACAAGTCAATATGTTCAGTTACGAAGAAAAACTTTTATGTTTAATCTATACCAATGTTATAAAGCTGAAAAGTTTGTTTGTTTGAACGCGCTAATCTCAGGAACTACTGGTTCGAATTGAAAAATTTTATGTTGAATAGACCATTTATCGAGGAACGCTTTAGGTTATATAACATCACGCTGCAACTATTAGGAGCGAAGAAATAATGGAAAACGCTGACGAAGTCGCTGGCGGTTACTAGTAGTTTATATGAGTTGAATACAAACTTAAATGCTTTATTTATTAATGTTATGAATCACAGTAGTTACCTGGAAGGCCTGTAGGTAAACTCGGAGGTCTGATGCCAGGGGCTAAGCCTGGTGGCATCCCTGGCGGTATACCTGTTGGCATTCTGCAACAAAATATATATTATTTTTATATTTTACTATTTTAAGATTTTATTACTTCGTGTTCGAGTGTCATGGTCAATTTACAGAATAGATCTAGACCTGAAAATATTCTATTATATTGACTTGTAAAATAAAAATGAGATTAATTTTAAGGTAGTTTACTTTTAAAGAGTTCTCTGATTTCTTTTATTAAAAGAAATAGTGACTAAACAAATTTTTTTTTCGGCGACAAGGTCCCCTGGTGGCCTCAAGAGACTAGCTCGGTGGCGTAGTAGATAAACGCCGCGGCCCGGGATCGTTGTTGTTAACTTTCTCAAGGATCAGTCACGGGATGGGTGACAAAAAAATTATTATCTCGAGCTACTACTGGCCTTGGAAGGCACATTAAGCCATTGGTTCCGGCGTTTGCAGGATGTTAATACCCTCCAATCCGCATTAGGCCAGCTTGGAGGGTCATTCATAGGGCCTGACCCCTGCAGCGGGGACATGAAAGGGCTGACAATGCCGATGAAGGACTTCTGGTGCTTTCATAACTCCGAATGTATTTATAATTACGGGCATCCAAAGAGTTAAATTGTATCTTTTTTTCAATGTTGGGGGGGGGTATCGTTTATTATGTGGCGGTATACATACGCGGGCATCCTGGGCACGGGCGGCATGGCCATAGGCGCGGGCGGCAGCGGCACCAGTCCACCCAGCATGCCCATGTTGTCCAGCATCGCTTTCGGCAGGATCTGCAACGGGAGGCATCAACCGATCTAATGTAACTGCACTAGAAGCTGCCTTAGTCACGGCTTCCTTATTCGCGGGTGGAAAAATTGTAACCGCATCGAACGATCTAACGTAACCACACTAGTAGCTCCTTAGAACCTTCCTTATTCGCGGGTGAAAACCAAACCATTTCGGTAGTCGCCGGCTGAAAAACTGTTTATATGCGAAATCAATCGGTAACATGAAGTAAGGAATTCAAAGTCGTTTATTAACGCATCGTCTTTGTTACGGACGAAAAAAAAAATCTCCCCGCAACCGCACCCCTAACGAGTGGAAGGGGTGCGTAACGGGCGGCAGCGGCAGAATCACCTTCCCGCAAACTAACCCCCGCAGAGTGGAAAGGGCGACGATAGCGAACGAAATTAATAGGCTAACTAACGCGTAATAATAGTAGCTAGTTACGATCGATCAAATGCCAAATACTAGTGGCAGAATTGTATGAAATCATGCCTGCGAACGTTTTCGTACTCTGCGATATAACATAAGAAGAAAGAAAATATGTTTCTCTAAAATCTCCGACTGTTGATTGCATCCCCAACAGTCATCTTTTAAATACTTCAAGCATGTGTCAAAGTGGCTTTGTAATAAAAAGCTTTAACGTATACAATCTTTAAAAACTCTTATTAAAAACTGACAATATAGATTTTAATTGATAGTTCGTCAACAATCTTACCCCAATTGTATAGATTTTAACATGCATATTTCTTTTATTTTGGAATAAGTTTCTGAAATCAAACTAGATGTCGCTACGGTACGTTCTCGATTTCTCCATGACAACCGTTCCGTTTTTTTTTTTCAAATTTAAAAGTTAATTAATTACTAAAAATCAATAAACAACTCATATTCTATTTGTATATTTTTGTATTTGTGTTGACATCTAAGTTTCGAACTTTTCAAATTTCAGTTTTTTATTATGTTAGTTAAAAGGAACGGAAATAACTATCTTTGGTCCATTAGTTTATAGTAAAAATCAACTTTTGCTAGAGCCGCCATCTAGTGGAGGTGCTTTTTAATGTTTTTGTGGTCTTTTAAATACTTTCTCATTCAGACACACGAGTAATTGATATCCGATATGCATTGACCCTGGTAGCTCGTTAGCGTAGTGGATAAGAGCCGCGGCCCGCGATCGTTGTCGTTAAACAATGGATAAAAATTATTATTAAATTAATGAATTCTTGCAAGATAAATCTCATTCTTAATTATTGTATGAATGCTTTGATTATAATATGAACCTATTATATGCTATTTTTTATGTAATTTAATTTGATGACATTTTCTTTCATATAAAATCAGACAATATATTGTATATTGACTTAAATATTTGCACATCGTCTTGACGATAAAATATGCTGGTCTAAAATTGTAAAGCAAGTTTCGCGAGGGTCGGCCACGGGATGGGCGAGCAATAGATACGCTAGAGGGCGTGCACTGACCCTGGGCGGCAGCCAGGGCGGCAGCGTGTCCTCGTCGACGGCGCCGCCGTCCTCGAGCGCGTCGAGCGAGAGCGCGTTGAGCTGCCAGCGCGCGTGCAGCGCCGCCCACGGCAGGTACGACACGCCCAGCTCCGCCTCCCAGTGGTCCTTCCACTCGCGCCCCTTCACGCCGCGCCCCGGCGCCCACGCCACCTGTGCCCCGCACCAGATACACCACCAGTTAAATCGAAACATTCCAATTCTACACATACGCACAAAAACTAAAACTCATTATAGAACCGCCAACTGTATCATAATAGTAGTTTTCAATGCAGTTGCTCATAAAGTACTATTTATTTAATCCATTGTAAACACCGAAGTAGCTCGGTGGCGTAGTGGATAAGCACCGCGGCCCGCGATCGTAGTCGTTAAGCAACTTTCGCAAGGGTCACGGGATGGGTGACCGAAAATTATTATCTCGAGCTAATCCGTGCTTCGGAAGGCACGTTAAGCCGTTGGTCCCGGCTGCATTTGCAGTCGTTAATACCCTCCAATCCGCATTGGGCCAGCGTGGAGGGTCATGGCCCATCCTCCTTAACCATCCATAAGGAAGGCCTGAGCCCCTGCAGTGGGGACGTAAAAGGGCTGGTGATGTGATGATGTAAACACCGAAAGTGAGTCTTTAAACACGTGTTAAATAGAAATGTACTAAAATCCTTTACTACACACGTGCTTAAAAGTATTTTCTGTTTAATTTTCTTGGCCGAGCACCAAAGGAATTTAACAAAAAATTAATGAAATATGTCAAACTTTAGAGGCAAAAGTACCTATTTCAAGGAGCCTAAAACGAATATTTTCAAATAAAAATGTATGACACGAAAACATGATCAAATATCATGTTTAATTTTAACAAATAATTTTTACCTTTAATAGATACTTAGTTTTATTAACCTATATATTTGTTTTATTTCCTCGCAAAAAGCATTGAAAATGTTGTAAGAAACTTGAGCGTAAAACCTTACTTTCCGCACTCGTATCTTAAATAACTATTATGCAACTGTCATATAAGAAGGGGTATTAAAACACGAAAGTCTGTTCATTATCTATCTATTAGACTCAAGTGTTTAAATTTTTAGTGCTTCATATTTTTCTTTAAATTCTTCCTCATTAATTAGATTTTATAGTTTCGGATATACAGTTATTAGAATTATGCAGGGTATTATATATATGTATAATACATATACTTATATATATAAAAAGCATCATACATATAATAAGATAAAAACTAAAAAAATATTTCATTAACAAAATTGCCCATGATAACGCCATCTTTCGACATGACTTCGCTATGACGTCACAACCGTCTTAAACTAATTTCGTTCTATGTATGTATAAAGTTTAATTCTAATTCTCTAAGTAAGACGGTCGTGACGTCGCGCTATGTGCGAACGAATATATTTGATTTTTCATAATTGATTTAAGCAACATTATAAATATAATAAGCATAAAAGTGTGATTATCGGTAATAGTACATTAAATACATAACTGTCTAAACTCGTGTTAGTAAAACATCTTTCTGGAGATATAAATATAAAAATTAATGAAAGATATGATGATGTACCATGATCTCCTTGGAGTGCAGCTTATGCTTGTTGAGCTTATGCAGCGCCTTGACGGCGTCGCGGCGGCGCTCCATGACGATGAAGGCGCAGCCGCGGGGCGGCACCAGGTCGATGGAGACCACGCCCCCCAGCGACCCGAACAGGTCCGACAGCTCCTCGGGCGTCGCCTGCTTCGACAGGTGCCCCACCCACAGCGTCGTGCTGCACACTGACCACACAATTACGTTATAAGGGCTCCACAATTGCAGTTCAACTAAAAAGCTTCATCTGTATGCCGGGTGTTTCTCCTATATATCCCTGGTCTTTGCCTAGGTTTGTTGTGCGCTCAAAAGGGGTCATCCATAAATTATGTCACACTTTAGGAGGGGGGGGGGGGGGGAGGGACGAACTGTGATATTAGAACAATATTATTAAACAATAGAGGGGAGGAGGGGGGTGGTGTAAAAAATTGAATATTGTGTGACGTAATTTATGGACGGCCCCAAACGAGCAAAGCTAGACATTCTTATATATGTTTTCTTTTTCGCTATTGAAAGTCCAATTAAATTGAGAGTTCCTTGAAATTGTTTATGAACATGACATAAATGTAGGACATGGTTACGTACAACTAATAAAGCATTACTTTTATATATTAGAGTTGCCAATTATATCAAATACTGATCTCTCCACCAACTCTGTGAATGTAATAGATCTGCCGACTATTGTTTGGCTGGTCTGCGCACTCGAGTCCAACCCAACTGTTTAATTGGACTAGTGTGTGCACTAGCAGACCAATTTCTACTAAATTCTCGGCCGATAGAAAGTCTGCAGTCTGCGGGGACTCATACCCAATACTCGTCCGCACTATTTCGCAAACTATGGCTTGTGAACATGTATTGAGTGGTGAAAGAAATTTCGTCTATTCAAGAAATACTAATACGACTCCAAAGAAACGTTTTTTTCGATAATGCAATGGAAGTAGGATCTGACATTGACTGACACTGACTCTGATGCACAGATCAATTCACAAATATTTTTCTACAAGGTGACTAAGTGGTGGGTTGCATGACTAGAAAGTTTCGTTAGAAAAGTCAGTGAAATCTGGTGACCGTTACTCCTATGGAGATGATACTTTACGTAGTATTCAACCGTTTATTGCATTTAAGTTATTAGTTTTGTAAAAGTGGTGTTATTTTGAAGATTGTTAATGAAACTGAATGATATGAAAACTAAATTTTTTCATTTAGTAAAACATTGAATATAGTATAAAATCAATATTAAAGAAGACTAGGCTGCAGCTAAAATATTACAGTAAAAAATAAATTAATTTACTCCTGAAGTCTATCCTTCAAAAATATTGTAAAATATGATATAAAGCTTTTATTGACAAATAAGGTTTCTAAAGCGGTTTGCAAAATTTTTGTGTTATTTCAACATCCATATAAAGAGAAAGGTTTATTTTTTGTTGATACTTATAGCGAGAATGCTTTTAAATGAATAAAATGTTATTATAGTAATATTACTGATAAATAGATAAACAAAAAACACGCCATAAATTGTAAACTCACCACTAAGATTTTCTTTCTTCATTGGTGGTAGCCCCTTCTTCTCCCTTTCCCTGTTCTTTTCTTTCTCTGCTTCTCTTTCTTTGCTATAAACTTGTTTATCTCTATCTCTCTCTTTATCCCTGTCCCTGTCTCGGTCTCTGTAATAAAAAAAATATGACTGCAACTGTGACGCTCTTTCAGACGACCATCACATCAATTATTTAATGGACATTTTTTATATATCTAGTCGTTACGGTGAGCAATTTTTCGAATTATACAGGAGGAAGGAGAAGCAAAGATTTTCTTAATAAAGAATAATATAGCTAAATATAAAGGGCACATTGGAAAGTACCATACAATGAGTAAATAAATAATGTACTGAATATATACCTGTCGCGGTTGCGGCGTCGTCTTGGTGAGCGAGAGCGCGAGCGTGAACGGGAGCGAGAGCGACGACGGCGACGCGGCGACTTAGACCGAGAGCGACGACGAGACTTCGGCGACGGAGACCTGGCCGATACACGGTGAACAGAAACGTTTTATTATAGAAATAATTGCAATTTATTATTTTTTGATAGAATAAATATAAATAAATATTAGATATCATATATATTACTTTAAAATAAAACAATCCCATTGTACCTTGAATCATTTGCATCTGGTATCTCTATGACTTGAGGTCCAGTCTCCACAAACTCTATATCTGATTCATTTGCCATGTCATCTTTCTGTTCATTCTGTTTCTGTTGATCTTGTGAATTCTGAAAACGCACCGTTTTTATTAAATAAAATAATCACAGCAAGTAAAGCGAAAAAACTTATTAAATTTGGAAGGTTTATTCACCAAAAAAGGTAGGTTCTGATTTTGTTGCAACTGCATGTCTGTCATCATTGGCATTAAATTCTGTGAAAATAAACATTAAAATCAATATACATTTTTTTAATAACAACTGCCATTTTAACGAAAACAGGAAATTGTATATTCATTAAGTAATTTATACTTACAGGTATTTGCATTCCAGTCATAAGTTGCATTTGAGCTTGCAAGCTCTGTAACTGTCTCATTATTTCTGGATTTGTCAGTATACTGAAACCAATATAAAAATCCATCAAAATAATCTCAACATAAAAAAACATTAATCAAGAAGAAATGTTACTTTATATCAATACATATAGCAAAATTATACCTGATTAAAAGAATTGACTACTGGACTCTTTCTGAAAAAGTAGTTTAAAACTCTCATATGATCATATCAAACCACTAATAGATTAATTTTCCTCATAAGTGATATTAAATAAAAGATTTTAAAAAAACTATCCTATAAACTCGCTCGAAATGTGACTTTTCAAGCCCTCACATCATCAAATGTTTAGTTAATATGATTATAACAAAATTATAAGAATGATTTGATAAAGACAATACAATAAACATTTAGTTAATTGAAATGTTACATCATACAATGCTCTGTCATGACAGTCCACGTTTCGGTTTTTGCAATTTACAGATTACAAATCGCTTTAATTTTGCAAAAATAAAGTATACTTACAATTAATTTCAAAACAAAAATTTCTAAATAGTTATTTCTTAAACATTACCACATATTACATGATTTATGGTTAGCTATCAAGCAATAAATTGTATAAAAGTGTTCCAAAAATGTTTACCTTCCAAGGGCGTCAGCAGGATTATGTGAGTGAGAGGGCGCGGGAGCGGGAGCGGGCGCTGGTTCGGGCGGTGGCTCATCTTCACTCTCATACTCAAAGTCGTTCAGCAATTTGCGGTTAAACTTCAGGTTTGACTGACCAGATGGCTGGTCTTGGAACTATATAATAAGCAACAGACACAGAATTTACTACTCATAGAAATTAACGTAATGCCTGGAAGCTTATTCTATTTCTTCAAAATTAAAATTTTTGTCTATTTACAAATTCTAATCATTTTCGATAATTTACGATTCACAAGAGTAGCTCGGTGGCGTAGTAACTAAGCGCTGTGGCACGCGATCGTTATTGTTAAGCATCTTTCGCAAGGTGGCCTAAAAATTATTATCTCAATCTACTCAGAGGACACGTTAAACCGTTGGTCCCGGCTGCATTTGCAGTCGTTAGTACACTACAAACCGCATTAAATGATTTAAATTTTTCCGAATTTTCGTTTGAGGACAAACAGAATAAGCCTTCAGGTATCATATTAATTCGTACGAGTTGTTTATTAAAAAAATAGAACCGACGTCGAACTTTAAACAAGTATAAAACTATACTTATCTCAAAAACAACTTATTTAAGAAAATGCTAATAAATTCGGGCGGAGGTTTTCTGTAGGTTATTAATTTAATGATAGGCTCTCGACTTCAATAGCATTTCTTGAATAAGACTAATAAGACTTCAATATAATTTCTTTAATAAAACGCTTTTGATATAAGTATTACTATTCACTTTTTTTATTAAATTTGATGTCTCTTTAATTTTTTGTTAAGTTTTTATTTCATGCTTTTTGTTATATTGATATTTTTATATATTAAAAATACTTTTCTGAAAATCGCGTCAAAATCGGTTTAGCCAAACGCGAGCAAGAAAAAATAAAGCTTACCTGATCACCCATAGGGGTGGAAGAACGTGGTGTATGTTGGGCAATTGGCATTGGTGATATTTTATTATCTGAATTGTGAGTTATGTTCAAACTACTACCTGGAAATGTAAAGAAAATTAAATGTGAATTTTGGAAACTGCTTAAAGTAACTTATTTTAGGACTCACTCTGATCACTCTGTATTGAAGATTGTATTGTTCAAATTGTCCAAAGACATGACCGACAGACATGTTTTATTTATTAATGTAAGCCTCTTTTGCTGTTTGTTAAGTTGTATTGAATTTGCTTCAATTAGTACTTGCAATTAGAGAATGTGCCATTAGGTATAGGTTTTTACAATAGTTTCTACCTCAGCATATGACAATAGAGGCATTAGTGGTAATTTTAATTCGTTTTACAGCCTTTTGGTACTGTAAGCTATCTTTCTACTTTTAATATCTATCATAATCATTTTCAAATAAATGTTTTAAAAATATTTACAAAATTCACTAATTGACAAGTTACAGCGATTGCAAAAGCAACTTTTTTTTAATGATAATGAATTAACAATATTGTCAATTTTACATTCATTTTAAATGCGAAAATCTTTGAAAGCTATTGTGAAATGTCAAACAAATGAGTTGAATGCTAACTGCAATTTTTCAACAGGTTTAACTCACTGTCGGCACAAAGTTAATCTAACAATTAAAATTAATGATTAAAATTGCAATGAAAAAAATATTTAAATTAATTAATCACAATCAAATTTATAATGATGAGTATTATTCATCATTATCATTAATTTGCTTATATCAAATAACTATGAACTATGTCCAAATAAAATGTATAATAAAACAACTCAATCAATAAGTAAATATTTCTCATACTTATTTCACAGACTTTACTTTCATGGAATATAAACTGTGTAAACACTGTGCGGGCAGGGATTTGGGCTGAGTTACTTTGTGTAAAAAGTGGATAGTATGTCTAACTGCAGCTGATCAACAGAAGTGTATAAACTTATTTAAATCAATCATAAGGAAGGAAATATCAGAAATCTCAGAAGCTGTAGCAATCAATGATGCAGCTGATAATACACACCACAAGGACAATAACTTTTTTATTTTTGCATTCACAATGCTATACTGGAAAATATTCTCAATGAAAAATATTTTGGTTACTTTTGTGCCCAAGAACGTTCAAGTGGTACATTCTAAAGTAACTAAGATTCTTTCTTCTTTAAATTATAAAAATAAAATAAAAACAAAATATATTTCCTTACCATTAGCTGCATTTTGTTGTTGCTGAATTTCTTGATGAAGCGGATGATTAGGATCAGCCATATCTAGGAGAGGTTGGATCACTTGTGGACTAAATACATTATTTTTCTGCCATAGGTTCAATACTCTTATTATATTGCGCTAGAAGTAAAATCAAAGCAGATCATTAATAACTATTAATATCTCAGATGGTAAATGCACTTAGCATAAAATTTTAATGATTCCTTCATCAATAGCAAATTATGTTGAATGTTTCCTATTGTAAAAAAATATTTTTTTCAGGAAATCAATACAAAAGGTGTACTTTTATTTTTAAAGCAATTTAAAGAAGTTAACCTAAAAAATTTATATAACAAACCTTCTCTTCAGGAGGGCATCTGAATAGGTTAGCAAATGTCTGCTGCATATTCTTAGCAAACCGTGGTGCAAATACATCTTTATCTTGTCCAAACTGATGCCGAGACTGTCTCACTATTGAATCTATCACATAAAGACCAGGAACTTTGTATTCTGGTTTGCATTTTTGTATAAACTTTTCTACACTGTGTACTACATGTTTATAGAATTTGATGGCTTTTATAGCACCTTTGGTGATAGCACTCATTTTCGCCTTCGATATTGGAGGTTTGTTGTCGTACAACCCGGATAACTGCAAGAAATTCATAGTTATAATGATGCCACGAACAAATTTTGGAAACAGTGAATATCACTAAACAAATTACCTCCGCGTTGAACGATTTTACTTCCGACATATCCATTTTGTAATTTAAATACTAAATAATTAATCCTACATTAGGTTACTCTTTTAGTAATAATATTGCTTGGACCATCGTTTTCGCAAACGAGTCGACATGTCCAAAATTACAAAATGGCGTTTATTCCACAGACCAACAGTAATATCTATAGATATTATTTCCTCTATGATAGAGATCTACAGTTTTGTCTATGACCAAGATTAAGTTGTTTAGGCCGATGCCAGACATATTAACAAAGTTTGAGTTAAACAAATCATTTGTGTTGGGTAAATTAATTCATCAAGATCATATTTAAAAAAAAAAATAACCTCATGGTGCATCTCAGGGGAGTATACAACTCATACAACTAAAAAACGCCTCTCATACTAAATCAAGACTCAGATACGGCACAAACCATAGACCTTTTATTTTTTTGTTCAATTTTCCCATTCCTACAGGGGAGGGGAAGGCAAAAGGTGCTTAGCCAATATAGCCTTATCATTTGTAATTATCTTCTTAATTAATCAAATTCAACGGCCACAGCCAAGTCTTTTTTAATAGAAATTTGTATTGTCAGTCAGTGTTGCCAACTTAGCTACTTTATAGCTAGATTTAGCTATTTTTTGATGTTGGGTAGCTACAATTTTTTAAATTTCGTAGCTCAACTTTTTAGCAACTTTTTCTAGTAACTTTTGGTTCAAATCCTGTCCGCGTGGAATTTTTTCTCCATATCTTATTTCATTTCAATTTCATTATATTCTTTTCATTCCATTGATCGTCATAGGTAGACTCAGTTGGCTGTTCTTATAGTTTGTTTCATTTGGGTTCAACAAAGTAAAGGAAAATATTCCATTTAAAAATGAATTTACCGTTTAAAAAAAGATTTACGCCCGGAAGTATAGATCGAAATAGGAAAATATGAATGAGTTCAAAGGTTGGTTAAAATCAGCAAGTAAAGATAGGAAAAGCGGCCAATGCTGTCACAACTACGTTCTCCCTAAGTCCGTACTTGACAAAATAGGTACTATAGAAAAATATTCAAAATCAATTACAACTAATTCAACTGCAACAGATTTATAATTACCTTCCCAAAGTCCACAACCTTCTACATCTTTCTCTAGTATTTAATTAAGTATTGTTTTGTAAATAGTCAATTGACTAGTTATGTAATATAAATATAGTATTAATTAAGTTCATACTATTATAAATAATACGGTTTTTAGAAATAATATAAACAAGATGATTTGTGTTTTATTTTGTTATTTGCATTTTAAATGCAATAAATATCAAAGTCTTTAATAAAATATCGCCGTATGATTTCTAGTAATCATGTAAAATGGTATTTAATTTTACGGAAAAATTTAGCTATTTCTAGCTACTTATCAAGTGGAACAAATTACTCAATCTAGCAACTTAAGTAAAATTTCCTAGCAACAGGCCTTCGGTAGTTGGCAGCACTGTTGTCAGCCACAAAATGACCAACACAGCCGAAAGTTTCAAGTCAGCCCTGCGATTCTGTAAAACTTCAAACCCGATTTCGAAATCACTCGGGTGTCCGAATTCACTTCAAAAAGTGGCATCCGCTCAAACTTGAATTTGTAATAATGTTTTGTGAAATAAGTGAAGTGAGTTTCGAAATGATATAGGATTAAAATATCTATGACACGTTTAATCAATCAATTTTGTTTAGTATATTTATACAAAAAATGGAATCAATATGATTTCTATACTAAATGACGAGAATTCGGACACATGAGTGAATTCGAATTCGGGTCTGGATTGTTACAGAATCGCAGGGCAGGTTACATGCAAACATCATTTTATTTGACAAACATTTCAAAATAAAGAAGGTGTAAAATTGGAGTAAATTTTTTTTTATTTCTATGTGTTGAGAGCCCTATAACGCTCATGCGCAATATCGATTGTGCGCAGATAACAATGGACCGTGAAATACATTAATTTAATTTAATTTTTTACCGATATCTTGATGATAGTCGATGCTGAAAATGTCCATTTCCTTTCTGAAGACTGAGCTAAGCACGCTCTTTTGCATGCCGGTGCATGCATGCGCAAAACACATCACATTTCACACAAAACTAAATACAATCTTAACTAAACTACACTTAACACGCAAGACGAACACTGTAGTATCATATTAACAAAAATTCATAACAAATATGCATTTTATAATGTTCTTTTTAAATGCAATTACTTTAATACTATTTTAATAACAAATCCCTCAATGTTTTTAAAACAAAGTACATTTGTGTTAGTGATGAATCGCTGAAAGATTTGTGAGTTTATCGAGTTTAATTAACGATCCCGTTGTTCAAGGAGTATTACCCCATTCAAACAATTTTTTTGGAGAATTGCTCTTTTAAAATAACGTAGGTTAATGTTAGGCTGATCTCTCTACAATAATTTAAAAAAAATTACACTCGGTTTCTGAATTGAGAATTTAAAGTAAAACGTTTCAAACTAACATCACTTAGTTTTCGTTTCCGATTTTAGTTTTTTGATGATCAGTTGATAACAGTTTGATAAAACTAGGACTATTTGACTTGTGAAAATAAAAAAACTTAGGTTATTTAGAATAAGCTGTAGAGATTATCAATTTTTTTCAAATCAGAAACCGGCTGTTAGTCTGTAAATCGATTTAAGCCTTTTGACTGTCTTGTTTATTGATTGTCTGGTATTATTTGCATGTAAGCGGTCTTATAAATCACAAACTAGATTATTTTATATTTAGAAATGAAGATGTCAATGGCCGATTAAAAACTTTTCCTTAGTACGTCCCAAAGACAGCTGATTGAGGGTTAAAACACTATTTTTTTCCAAAAACTTTGAAATTGAATATCTTCGAAACTATTTGACCTAGGCATATAATTTTTTTTACATCATATTAAAGATAAATAGTACTCTCCAGGAACCGCGGAAGTGTCGGTCGTTCCTGTTCTACTGGGTATTATATGTCTCTATGGTCTAGGTCAAAAGGCCGCAGCCAAGTGATCTGTGAGTAAAAGTGTTCTGCGAGTTTGTCTGTTTGTGACATTACATCATCATTACATTGTGTACATGTTTGTTGCGGACCATTTGCGAACGATATTTTGGAATTTGAACAAGATTGGACAAATATAATAATTTGCCGCTACATACAAGAAACTATACACTGGAGAAATCTTAGAAGTGTGACCTATTTAAAGAAAAATTAAATAAAGTTTTTGTCTATATTTTGAGAATAAGAACAAAATAAACGCAACTTTCATAATGACTGACGAATACGCAGCTGTTAAACGTGGAAAACTTCATTTAAAAGGCGACAAACCTAAGTAACTAACCACCGAGTTTTAACGTAGTCTTTGTTATGACGTTTGAATAATCTGCAATTATTAATAATTTTCAGAGCTAAGAAACGCAAACATAAGAAGACCGAGAAGTCTGAAGTTTCCAAAGTAGACGAAGATGCCGTCAAGCACGGCAGCTGGTGGAAAGTTACGAAAATAGAGGACATCACTGGATCAATATCCATTGAATTTGGAAATAATTCTTACGTCTCCGCTTTAGACAACGGCCTTTTCACAATTGGAGCGCCTCACGGTGACTGCGAGGGCCCCTCGCCTGAAGAGATATTCACGGCGTTTCCAGCAGGGGAGAACAAATTCGCACTCAAATCTGGTTACGGAAAATATTTAGGTGTAACCAAGGATGGCATAGTTATTGGTAGATCTGATGCGGTTGGACCTATGGAACAGTGGGAGCCAGTATGGGAAGACGGTAAGATCTTAATCATAAGTCTATGAATTGGGATATTACTTAGCATGCTGGTAAATGAGATTTCACTCTAAATGCATAACTTACCCATCAGTCTTCAGGTGCTGTATATTCATTGTTTTATTGCATATTTATTTGGCTGAAGTTGAATGGATTAATGAATTAGTGTCACATTTTGTAAGAAATTACTTTGCTTTGATCAATTCTAGATGGTATAGTATGATGCTTATAGGCAGATGAATCATTCTTTGATTAGTTTTTATGGCATGAACTCTTAATTGATGGCAAAATGCACCATATTTTCCAGGAAAAACTGCAATCTTGAGTTCTTTAAATAAGTTTATGTCTGTAAATGAAGAAGAGTCTGTTGTGGCCCAGAGTTCCAAAGTTGGAGACCAAGAGCTTTGTTGCATCCGTAGCAATAAAACTAAGGAAGTAAATAAATCAGTTGTTCCTACAGAAGAGCAAGGGGATTTGGCAGAAGTGGAAGTTAACTATGTGTAAGTTTTAAGGCTCATTTGCTTAACCGAGGTATTCATAACTGACATTATAATTGATAAGTTTCTATGTTATACTTTGTACTGTTATAATATTTGTTTGATAAAGTCAGTTTGGAAAATATCTCATGATCTACACACTCGTAGACATTTTAATATCTCCAAAATCCCAATCCGGAGCAAAAATTTGTGATATCAGTTTTGATACTACTATGATTCTATGGCATCCTAATATTAGCAAAATTAAAAATGCATGGTTATAAAAATAAGGTATAAATATAGCTTTTCCAAGAATCTACAAATATTTATTGCCATCCATAGCATGCTCCATCATGGCCACCAGCATTTCGGTTCTTTTAATCCTCTGATTTGAATTCTAAGTTAATTTCACTAAAATAATTTTATTTTTGTCCCTAGCATAAAATTATTTAAAAACAAAAAATCCCACATAATTACTACCATACATAAGTTATTTATCATTTCTAAAATATTTATAACTGTCAAGTCGCCAATAATAGGTTAAGTAATTTATTCATATCAACATCAGCTTCCACTGCTTTGATCTGAAAAATCAACATCAGCTGACATAGGAAAAACCCGCATCAGCAATAACCTCAGTTTGTATTAGTGGGAATATTTTGACAAAACTAATGACAAACTGAAAATAACATTTTTAAGTACCACTTAATAAATTTACAGGAAGAAGTTCCAAAAATTCCAAGACAAGAAGTTGCGTATAAACGAGAGTGGAATATCAGAGCTGAAGAAAGCAAAGGTGGAGGGCAACCTACATGAAACATTGCTGGACAGAAGAAGTAAAATGAAAGCAGACAGATACTGTAAATAATATATACCACAAAGTAGTTATTATTCATAGTTCTTTCAAAATCAAGAGTACCTATATCATTTAAATGTCACTGAGTAAATAATGTTATGGCTGGTTTCTGATTTTACATCAACTTAAGTTTTTTATTCTCCACAAGGCAAAAAGTTCTAGTTCTTATGAAACGGCTATCAAATGATCATTAAAAAATCTAAAATCAGAAATAGACCTGTTTAAGTGATATTAATAAACAATTTGAGACATGCTAAACTTTAAATACTTAATTCAGAAACTGGGTGTCAGTTAATCAACATAATCTTAAAAACTAGCTTTTGAAAAGCAATGCTGGCAGGGAAGGTAGCTCACTTTCATGAGCCCACTTGTAAGGCTGCTTTAAAAAAATAAGTCTACAATTTTGATATTCTTTTATTTTTCTCTTGTAATCCTTCAGTACAATGGCCTAAAATGCGTTGGAGTAATTTTTGTATACACTGTTTTTACAGAGAAATGAAATTAATTCATTACAATCATACAGAATTTGAATATATCTACCTACATACCTTATATAAAACGATATCTACACCTAAACCTATGTGTATTAGACTAGACACAGACACCTAGTCTATTGGAACTTGATAAGAGTAGTGGCTTTGTTGATACGATACAGTATAATACATTTTACATGGTCTCACGTCCAGTGTTAGTGGCTTGCAGGCACAAATCCTTTATAACCATATGTCAAATGTTCCAAAATCATGCCTTTGCTCACAGAATACCCGTTACTTATAATAAATAATATTGTCCTAAATGTCAGATTTTGAATACCTCTCTTCACTACTTATGTGTAAGTATAATCGTTCTACCATAATGCATCACAGATTAAATGTAATTTTTTTAAATACAAAAATTTATAAGGTTTGATGCATAGATTCATAATATCACTTAATATGCTTCCAATTAGTGTATGGCAACTGATATTCTGAGAACAAAACCAGTTTGTAACACCTGCAAATTATAATCTATTAGATCTACAGTTGCACATATTTGTTTATTATCATTTTAAATATTTTCTATTTCAATTTACAAAAATATCACAAAATATGCAATAGATGAAATGGTGTACTGTCCAGTATATGGCATGGCCAAAATTTATTAAATGATATTACATTTGTGGTCTGTGTTCTGGCCGTATACATATTTCCTTCTTATATATCTCCTTGTATTTGGTAAAAATAAAAATGAAACGACTTAATGCTATGATCCCCACCAAAATGTGAAAATCCAATGTAAGTGCACAGTATCCTTGGATAGATATACTAGGTCATATTACTTTTAAAGTAAAAATATTACAGTTCGGTGGGCACATTAATAAATAAACTTATTAAAAACAAAAATATTTGACAGTTCCGGAGTATTTGAGATTGCATATATGAATATTTCAAATCAACAAAATGAATCAATACATCGCCCAGGTTTTTAGAGGCAAAAACGTAATATACATACATACGTTTAAAATACATGCTTAAAATAAATAGCACGTCAGATTACTAAATCGCTCCAATTGATTTTAAGCCTTAATTTGTTAACAATAGAGTTCATTGTAACCTGTTATTCTGTTGTGTGCTGTGTGTACAATGAAACTTAACACTACTACGTAAAGGAGGAAAATAATATAATGTTATATAATTACTGACCATTTTGTAAATGATTGCATATTGATAGCATAATAACGTCAATACTCGTGATAATTTAAAGATATTATGTTGAGGGAAATAATTATAATACGAAATGTCGCCACTTAAAAGATGGAGTGCTATTTTAAATTTATACTATAGATATTATTATATCTTAATAACAGAATATGTAACAGATAACATGGTGCTGTATTGAACTTAAGAAATGTTATTAATCTGATGTAATCAGCCATATATTCGAGATATGGTAAGAGTATAAATTAAAAGGTTTATATTATAATTGCAATTGAAATTAACAAGCTACAAAACACTCGTCAACATAATTCATAGTCATAAGAATTTATTCATAACCGCTTAACAATTTATCTACATTCAAAATATTCTTTTCTTTGTGATCTCAGCCTTGCATATTCAGAATAAATATAAGAGAAATTAGCTAATATCAAAATGCTGTGTGTTATAAACAATTCAAAGGTACAGGTTACTCAAAATTCTATTTTGAGTCTTAATAGGACATCCGTTAAGTTCAATATAGATTGTGAAAACCTCATGTGTTGTTTTATTCGATGGATTCACGTTATAATCCCAGTACAAAGAAGCTTATTATGCGGAAGATATTGTTTATTCAGTAAAGATTTCTTAGAAATTTAAATATATACTTAAAACAAGTGTTGCAAGTCCAATAATTACCAAAATATGCTAACTGCCAATCAGTCAAAGGCCACAACCACAATTTACTTACCTATCATCACACACTTATTCATAAAAGAAATTGCTTTGACAAAAGCCTCTTCACACAGCCAATTTATCAATTTACTTTTAACTGAATAATTATTCACTTATAATTAACATTGGCAGTTTACAAAAGCAATCGGACTGTATAATAATATAATAAAAAAAGAACCTATGTTGTATATTATTGAAATAAAATAAATATTAACTTAAATATTATTTTTATACATAAAATAATAATGTGACATATATGTATTTTACCTTTGCTGACTGGCAGTAAAAATAAGTCAGGGTTGTCAGTATACAAATATATAGTATTTTTACCCGACTGCGCGACTTAGGGTAATGCGTTTATTTATCTTTAAAGGCGTTTTAATGTCAAGTTGTTCTTTTAAATAAAATGACTATCAATTGAGACGTCGAGTTATTGTCAATTATGAACCCTTCTGTCGAAGTACCAATTCAATATATTTTGGTACTTAAGATGCTGTCAGTATTGATACTTTTTTAGCCAATACGTTCATAAAAAACATTATATTTTATAAATAAATCTGGTAGCTGCCACAGCAAAGTGCCATAGTAATGTAATTTTTTTATGATTTGATGAGTATCACTGTTATTGAATTTAATTATTGGCCTGAACAATATGTATGCATTAAAAATATTCTAGAATTCTCGAATCAATGACAAAATTTCTATAGGATATTTCATTTTAACATAGGGACTCAAGGGAAAATCAATCCGAGAAACAGTATTTTTATATAATTAAATATAAAGTAAAAAGATTAAAATAAAATCTATAGATAATATACATATACTATTTGAGGATTATATATAGTATAATAAATAAAAATATTTAAAAAATAAAAGTTTTATCCGATTTGCAGTTTCTATGATAACAGGCTGAGATAGAGCTTATGTGACTGTCAAAACTTTATAAATAAATTAATTCATATTTATTTTTCCAGAAATGTCTTAGTAAATTATTACATGTTTATTGGGAAACGTAAATTATTTTGTAGCCGCTTGTTAAGAATATTAAAATTATCTGAGGCCTAATTGTCTAATTTTAAAATCTATCGCAATTCCTTTCAATTTACAAACTTCACACTACAATTTTTACATTACTTTTGAACAAGTAACAGATATTGTTATAGCGATCTTTGTTGAATGATACTGAATGAACTACATTGTTAATTATATGTTATTTGGAAACGCGTTTGGCTTTTATTATTTTTCTTGATTTACATAATTTCGTTAATCGTTATTTCTTTTAAATCTATTGCAATTGATTTTTGAATTAGACAATTAGCTGTTTGTTCCTAGGTGCCATCCATAAATAACGCAATTTTTGGCACCGTCACAGATAATGCTTTTCTAATATTGTTATGTCACATTTAGTAAAGGGGTTCATGTAGAGGTACATGTGACATAATTCATGGATGGAAGGCAGGCGAACAAACGAACATAAAATATTGTGTACTTTCGACGCCCACATATTCGTGACATTTTCCGTTGCTCGCCCGCTCTAGGAATAGATCAGGGGTGGCCAACCGGTCGAACGCTGCAAGGCAAAAGTATTAATTTTTGGTTCTACATATTTACTTGAATCAGCATTTTCTTATTTAAAACAACTTAAAAGTAGATCCCGAAAGGATTCCTCTTTAAAAAGTCGATTTTAGCTTTGGATAAAGTTAGCCACCCCTAAAATAGACAATAGTTGAATATCTATAAGAGAAAAGATGAGAATTTGGCTTACGGGCTCTTTTTAAATTAAAATTAGCTCGATGGATTGTATGTAACAAATGATAGGTAACTTTTTTAAGACTTTTCTAAAAACTGCGCCATACAAATGAATAAGCGTATTGAGAGTATTGCGCACTGTTTATTTTAACTTATAAAACATAATGAAACGGTAGTATTATATTTTCATAAAACTTATCGGAGTATCATATCTGTCTCGAAAAGTTTATTTTTGCGCAATTGGAGTATATATAAAAGAACTAGGCGAAAGTATCAAAATCACTGGTTTCAACATCATCTAGGCATGTCTCGTCAAATTTATTATTTTTGACAGCATTTTGTAATAGGATCCAATATTTTTACATATATTTTATTCGCTCAGAGCGTTCCATCTCAGAGGTTGTTTTGATACTTGTTTCTAAAATAATACAATGTTGTAAAAGAATATGTCCCAGCGCACACGCGCGTGGGGTGTGTTTGTGTGTGTGTGTTAGTACGAGATTCAGCCGCATGAATCTAGAGATGTCTAGTTTATTTTTTAATAAAACTTAATTTGTATTACTGATACATTATAAAATAGTATAGATTACAGTAGCGTTCCCTAGAAAAAAATTGGCACAATAATCTTACATCAAATTATATTGAAATAAAACTAATTATTAGAAACAATTATAGTGTAAAGAAAAAAAAAATGATATAATTATACTTTTACTAAAAAATACATATGAATAGTGGAATAAATAATTACAACTATAAACCATACGCTTACGCCCGTATATATAGTCCAGGGAAGTAATTGAGAAAAATGGCATATCTTCAGTAAATATTTTTAACCATCTATACGAGAATTTTAATGAAATAAGAACTTTTATAGCTAATAAAAATAGTATTATTACTATTTTTAATATTTTTATTAGCATTAAAACTTCATCCAAATTCTTATTTATTTGTTAAAATGTTTGCTTAAGAAATTAATTTTATTCAACTATAGTATTAGTATTTTAAATTAAATAATATCTTTTACACGATGTTGGATTTAAAATAATACTGAATTACTTAAAGATGATTGTGTAAATTTTTTTTTCAGATAACGCCGTCATTGTAATAAAAATTAAATTTTATCGAAAAACAGATACCTGTAGATTGAAGCGGCCATATCTTGTACGTACGTGTGTATAGGTTAGATGTAGTTAGTGTGTGTGATCTCTCAGCTGACGGGCGGCATCGCAGCATCTGGCGCTCTCTCTGCACGAAGCCATTCAACAAACTCGTCCAACATTACAGGCCCTGGAAAATAAGGGACATTAACTACTCCGGGAGTTGAGAGCACTTATATGAAAACTTATAAATCGTATTTCTTTTAATAGAACGTGTCTATGACATTTAAATTTGACGAAGGAACGCGGTCGTTTGAATTGTGACGTCATTGTTCAAACATATTAGGTATGTTAATTCATGTTGAGAAAAATATAAATCTCTCAATCAATTTATTCCAATTGGTCACCCAATTGGAATAAATTTAAAGTATGATTTTTATGTTTGTATTTGTATTTGCGTTAGATCTTGGACGTGTTTGAAAATGTCGTGATTAATGGAAATTCGATCTTTTAACGTGGATTATACACAATTGATTTTTTCAAAATGAAGTCACGTCTCTTCTGTCATTGTTGACATTTAAGTCATTCAGTGCTGCTATTTTATAACGTCGTTTGCCACTTTAAAAATTATTATTTCAAAATTTAAAAAAAGTATTGTATTAATAAATTAGTTTAAATTCTAAGAGTACACCAGTAAACTCGGCTAGTAGCTGAAGTAGCTCGGTGGCGTAGTGGATAAGCGCCGCGGCCCGCGATCGTAGTCGTTGAGCAACTTTCGTAAAGATCGGTCACGGGATGGGTGACCAAAAAATTATTATCTCCAGCTACTCCACGCTTCGGGAGGCACGTTAAGCTGTCGGTCCCAGCTGCAGGACGTTAATACCCTCCAATCCGCATCGGGCCAGCGTCCTCCTCAAACATCCATAAGGAAGGCCTGACCCCCTGCAGTGGTCGATCTACTCAGAGGGCACGTTAAGCCGTCGGTCCCGGCTGCATTAGCAGGACGTCAAGCGTGGCATCCATAAGGAAGGCCCGAGCACATAAATGACGGTACAGTACAGGCGCCGTCCGCGTCGTAGGCGGCGAGGTGGTGGTCGACGGTGCGGCTGAACTCGAGGATGTTGCACCACTGGTCGCGGTTGACGACGCGGTACCGGCGCTCGCGCTGCAGGAACTCGCCCAGCGGCGCGCGCAGCCCCCAGCGCGGCAGCAGCACGCCCAGCAGCGCGCGCGCCGTGCCCGTGTCCAGCGACCGCTGGTCCTTATCCTGCCGCCGATAGCCGATAGCCGACGATTTATTTATTTTTGACGTGGATACGTCTATGTTTTCGTTCTACAGGGGGTCATTCTGTGAGCAGGAGCTTATGCACTAACGCCATCTGTTGGCGTATAAGTGAACTATGCTTGCTCTGCAGCGGGAGTATATGCACTAACGCCATCTATTGGCGCTAGTGAATACTTTTTCATTCAACAAATGAACGCAACGAATATTTATTTATTTAGTGTTTAGTGTCTTCAATTTGTTTATTTTGACGTGGATACGTCTATGTTTTCGTTCTACAGGGGGGTCATTCTGTGAGCAGGAGTATATGCACTAACGCCATCTATTGGCGAATAAGTGAACTTTGCTTGCTCTGCAGGGGGAGGGGCATTCTGTCAGCAGGAGTATATGCACTAACGCCATCTGTTGGCGCTAGTGAATACTTTTTTCATTTAACAAATGAACGCAACGAATATTTATTAATTTAGTGTTTAGTGTCTTCAATTTGTTTTTTTTTCTTGTATTATTCATTTATAAATGCAATTATGCCACAACGTTGCATAATTCCGGGTTGTTTTGGAGAAGCGAATCGTTCAGTTTTTAGAGTGCCAAAGAACATTGATAGACGTGAAGAGTGGTTAAAAGCTATTCGTGATGTGTTTCCTAAACTGGATGTTAATGAAATTTTTTTTTTTTATCAATTACTCATATATCCATTCAATAATAGACGTATCCACGCATAAAATATGGCTGTATCAATGATACAGCCAACCAGGGTTTTTATTTATTTTATTTTGGTACAGCAACAGAAAACAAATCAAGATCACATGCTTACGATTAGGCATAATTAATTAATTCATTGTTTATTTGCCTTCCCATAACTGCTGGACACGACACTTAAATAGTACATGTATTATCAGTAAATATGACAATGAATGAATATTAAATAAACTTAAAAATAAACAAGTTCAATGGTAATAGAAAATTAAATCAAAAATTTAGCATAATTATTGAGAAATTTAGAAAAAGAAAATATAATCAAGAAGTGAAAAGGCCAACGAAGCTTTGTGAAACGATCAGCACTCACAAAGCTTCGTTAGCCTTTCTACTTCGAGGCTATCATACGCCGTCAATACACCGACGCGATCGCATTGAGGAAGTATTAAAAAAAAAAACTAAAGCGCTAAAAAACACCTCCCCTAGATGGCTACTGTAGCAAAAGTTGAATTTTGCAGGAAACTAATGGACCAAACACGGTCATTTTCGTTCCTTTTAACTAAAATATTAAAAAACTGAAATTTGAAAAGTTCGATACTTATAAATAAATAGAACACGAGTTGTTTAAAGAGTTTTGAAAACTAGTTTACTTTTGTACATGAAAGAAAACCGGAAAAGTTGTCATCGAGAAATCAAGAACGTATATCTTGTGTGATTTCGGGAACTGATGTTTTTTTTTAAATACTTCCTCATAGATCGAGCTAATAGTAGAGCGAGACAAAACACATGCGAAACATTGTCGTCCAACTGACGAGACTTCGCAATTCGATGCACTACCGGCGTTAAGAGATCGCCATTCCTTTTGGTTCTTTAAAAAACCGCAAAGCATAAGTTGGGTCGGTGTAAATCTGACGTCAACATAAAGAATCATGTTCAGTTTCCATTCATCGTTTGGCCAGACATAATGATAAATTGAATTAATTTTAGCTCAAAATAGAATAATATATAAGCATCTTTTCATCTGGAGGCCAGGGAGATTCGTAATTTGTAAATCTTTTAAGGTTATATCAGCTGTCAAAACTAGAGATAATTGTGGAGACCCTTTAAAAACTAATGCATTAAATAAAAGTTTATTTATAATTTGACTAGAAAATGTTGAAATAAATTAATACATAAATGTTTTTGTGCATATTTAACGTTATAACGTAATAATATATTTGCGTAGTAGATATAACGAAACGTAGCAAACCGTATTTGTATGGTCCGAATCGCATAGGGATAGTGTTAGGGGTATCCTTTTGAAAACATATATTATCCTCGCAATTTTAATCCTGACTTTATTTTAAGACTTAATTACAAGATATGGTATAAGTAAAAAATAAGATACGTTTTGAGATATATCACATCACTAAACACGTTAGTAAAAATTTATGTCAAAATTGGACATGATTCTTTAAAATAGTGTCTGTCAGTGGAGGCACCTACTTAATATTTGGTGGTGGTGCTACGATATAGTCTGGTTTTACTGTAATTTAAGCCCGTGTAAAAATATAAGGGCCGCTTTTTTTTTAAAAAAAAGGACAACGAAAATGGCGGGCCCGTAAGACAGATATTCGAGCTAGAATATTGAAACGTATTTTAGTTAAAAATATAAGAATATACTCTAAGCCTACTTTAAAAAGAAAATTCAGCCAAAATAAAGAAAGGGTTATAATTAAAATTAAAAGATATATTTTAATAAGCATTCAGCATGCTCAGCAAGTTTAGCATTCTATATGAATAAACTATTGACAGTTCTAATACGAAAATTAGTAAGTTTTTTTTACAAATGAAAGTGTATTTCGTCAATAAATCAGTGTTCGAACTTTGTGATTAAATTCGGACAGAAATTTACATAGATGATTTAGAAATGAACAAATTAAGTTTATAAAAAAGAAAATCACTTACCCTAGCGAAATCATATGAATATCTATAAACAGCCTTAAATATATATGGATCATTGAGTAAACTGCGTAAATATTCTAATTTGTTCTGCAATTTGTGCACACTGTCACATTGTAACTCCGTTAAACCTGAAAATTATATTTTTTTAGATATACATATTTTAAATTAAATATACTTAATATATTGAAATGAAAACTACACCTTATAAAGAAAGTATACACCAAAACTTAATTAATACTACATAGTAAAAAACAAAGTCGCTTTCTCTGTCCCTATATCCCTCATTACCAGCCCTTTTACGTCCCCACTGCAGGGGCTCAGACCTTCCTTACGGATGGTTAAGGAGGATGGGCCATGACCCTCCACGCTGGCCCAATTGGAGGATATTAACGACTGCAAATGCAGCCGGGACCAACGGCTTAACGTGCCTTCCGAAGCACGGAGTAGCTCGAGATAATAATTTTTGGTCATCCATCCCGCGACCGACCCTTGCGAAAGTTGCTTAACGACGATCGCGGGCCGCGGCGCTTATCCACTACGCCACTATCTAGCTATCCCTATGTATGTTTAAATCTTTAAAACTATGCAACGGATTTGAAGGTTTTTATGTATAATACAAGACCACATGGGCGAAGCCGCTGGCGGAAGGCTAGTTCATTATATGGCAGTCCGTATTATATTACTATAATCGATCTGCTGGCAAAGTCAACAGCGTGTCAGGTCATTCAACACTGTCATATATCTCCACTTGATTTCAACCTTAATGCGCTGATAGAAGAGTTTAAATCCAACTTTGAAAATTTTACTTATTGTGGTAAGCTGACATTAAAGTGTTTACATAAAAACGCATAAAATTGATCAGTAGTATTTTAAGTGTTCAAAAAGACAGACCGACTGACGTAGAGGTTAACCATTTTACATTTTATTTATAAAGGATAGCACTTGTATAACTGTACAAATATATGTGGTAAAAAATTACATTACCTTTTAACCATTCTTCTTGAGTAAAGTAACCCATTTGTTTGGCTCCCATTTTGTAAGCTATTACCAACATCACTACATTTTCAGGATCTACACCTAAGTCTTCACAAAACTTTTCCATTCCTTCAGGACCTGAAATTTTGGATAACGCATTATTAATTCAGCATATTATGCAAAAACTACAATGTTCCGAGTCGCCGAACTGATCATAATCTTAACACAAGAAATAAAGATAAACTTGCCGTTCCAAGCTTCAGACTTCAAAAAACCAGAGGATCATTTCTGGGTAAATGTATTGCTATGTTCAATAAAGTTCCACAAAATGTAATTGACCTACCCATAAATAAATTTCAAATTCATGTAAAGAATATACTTGTGAGTAAAGGCTATTATAAAGTTGATGATTATTTTAAGGATCGCAATGCATGGAATTAATAGCCTTCGCTTTGTTCTATAAAGACTAATTATATGTTCAACTTATGTCCTACAGACTTTGAAAGTTGTATTTACTATTGTGATAAATTGATAATACATATTATTTTGGTAATGACATGATTTATGTAAATGTCATTACTTATGATAAAAAGCTGATAAGTTTCTTTCGCTTGTTCTTCTTGTCAGCTAAAAGACGTCCTGAATAAATGGTAGGGCAAAAAAGTTTTTTGGACGATTCAAAAGTGCTTGTAATAGCCTACTTGAATAAAGATATTTTCATTTCATTTCATTTCGATCTATTGCGCTCGTATAGATGTATATAGACATAGTAAAGTGAACCTAAAAAAATTATACGATATACACAATAGTATAGGCACGGATTTCTCTGTTTGATGATCGGGCTATTATAAAATGTTAGTATTATCAAATTTAAAAATAATTTTCCATTAGTAAACTACACATTAATTATTATAGAGAAACATGGTCTTTAAATTACATTATTTTAGTCAACTCAAAAATCAAAGAGCGTTATTTTGTTTAAATAAAATTATTATAAAATGCTCACCTAACACATCTGGTTCTGAAACACTTGTGTATTCTTTAAACCAAGCTAAACATTTCTTTGCACTAAAACTAGTGTCTTCTGCTTTGGAATGTCGACGAGAACTGTAATAATAATAAATGTTTGAAATCATCAATTTATAAATGAACTAGTGGACGCCCGCGACTTCGTCCGCGTGGAAGTCGGTATCCCGTGGGAGTGAGAAGTTTTCCCAGTAAAAAGTACCCTATGTGTTATTCTGATGTATAACCTATATTGCTGTAAAGTTTTATCCAAATCCGTCCAGTAGTTTTTTCGTGAAAGAGTAACAAACATCCATACATCCATACTTACAAACTTTCGCCTTTATAATATTAATAATAGGATAAACTCGATATAAAATAAGTTGTTTGTACATTTTTAAATTATGAGATTCCATGATAATAAATATATGTACAATAAATAAATTAGGTATAAATAAACTATTTGACTAAATCATTTACCGTTTTGTAATCTAGTTGGTTGGTTAACAGACAAAATTTTAGAGAAACTTACATTATATTGAAGACTGTCAGTAAGAGCTGAATAAGGATACCATTATTGTAATAACATTTTCAAGTTAACTATTAATTTGTAGAGTCCATAACACACAAATGCTATGTAACTATGCGCTTTATAATTTCACAGTTAATTCAATAGGAAAATATAGGAATGATTCGACACCAAAATCGACAGCCAAGTTGGTTAGCTATGGATACTTACTACGACGCATGACTTCATTAGAGAGGTTTTATTTAAACTATGTAAGTAAGTATTTGAGTTACTCAGTGAAGGTTTTATTTGGTTAGCATTGGATTCAATCAAAATGCTTTTAACATTCAATACAATACAGTACAAATATACTGTTTCAGTATAATCATACTCGATTAAATAATCGAGTATCCTTATCCTGGAACATATCCAACATGCTATACTTAAAGTAACGTTCAAATCATTTCTATTTCCCAATGATGTCTTCTATTATTTCTGTGAGGTTTTGTCCGTATGGAAAATATTCACACTCTAAGTCAACTTATGATCCCGATGTTGCCAAATTCCGTAATAGACGAATAATAGAGTCAAGTGTCGATTTTTTCGTAAATCCTTTAGCCGTAGAATCCTACCATTCCTGGGTGCTTTCCTTTATAATTATGTTAATAGATTTATGAATATATATACCTTTTGAATACCAGAACGCTCAAAATTACGTTTTTGCAATGGCTTCTCCCATAATCTTATGAGAAGAGTTACTTCATCACATTAAGTAAACTTTTTATTATATTTAATCACTAGTGGCCGCCAGCGACTTCGTCCGCGTTTTCCATTATTTCTTCGCTCCTAACAGTTGCAGCGTGATGTTATATAGCCTAAAACCTTCCTCGATAAATGGTCTATTCAACACAAAAATAATTTTTCAATTCGAACCAGTAGTTCCTGAGATTAGAACGAAAATGTTATTCTTTAAACAAACAAACTCTTCAGCTTTATAATATTAGTATAGATTAGCAGTACTCGATACAATTGGTTTTATAGATTTTATAAATAATATAGAATATTTTTAAGTTAGTATTTCATTTAATATGGTGCTTTGTACTATTGCAAAATTATATACATATACTTATATTATTGTTGTCACTGGAAGACTGGGTTCATAAGTTACAGTCCTCCTATTTTAAGTTTCCACAGATCCACACTACTGTAGTTTTAAGATTTCACCTGTTTTGCAATTGCGTATTGTCATAACTCTTTGGGAAATAAAGTTATTTATTATTCTATATAAATATTATTTATAATTATTATTCAACTTTAGTGTATTTTGATTGAATCCATCTGCTAATCAAATCTGTTTGTATGCAAAGTTTGAGCATTTATTGAAAATCTGCTTCAATAATTCAAATTTCAACAAATACTCCATACTGTACTGTATCTTATCGATGTATAAGGGTTGTTTTAATTGGTAGAATGCTGAACTCCACCAATTTCTATTTATAATGCACACTTTTGTGTTATTAGAATATATCAAGTATAAATATTTACCTGCTATTTCTTGATCTCTTGTGATGGTGGTGTTCGTCTATGGCTGTGGCTCCAGGCAGAACCTCGCCCCCGTTAGTGGGGGCGCCACTACGTGTGCGTTTGCTGCAGCGAGGCATCGCTCTACCACCCTGACATGCAAATTAAGATAAAAACATTCAAAATAAAACATTCATTCCTATCACAAAATGAGTATACATGCATATAACTCTTAAAAATTACACCCAAGGGCCTTTCTATTCATCCTCGAACGAAAATGTTAAATTATTCTTATAATTTTGTGCATCGGATGTAGTGTTGCATAATAAATTATCTAATAGAAATTAAGTTTTCGGAGAAATAGAATAAGCCTTCAGGTGTCATGTTCATTCAAACGAATATAAATTCAAATCACAATAAAATAAGAAATATGTATTAACGTGTATGACGCCAAAGGGTATATGCTCAGTGATTTCTTTGTTTTAAGGAGCAAAGCACTGATTTTCAGTCTTTACCGAGAGAACTCACGTCTCACGCAATATTATCCATATATCAGAACTAATTGAAATTGCAATTTTTTATTTACATAAAATGTCACAAGTATTATATTAAAATATAACAGGTGGTTTTATCAATTAAAATTTGAATTGTGAGTCAACTCAAAATAAATAAGCCAAATTTTGCTACCCCCATCAGGCCACAGAGATCAAATAATGTCAAATTGTTTTCTTTTTCCAAGGATCATACTAATCTTAAGACTTCAAAATCCCCTCTCTCGAATGTACTCTGCTACAGGATGTACCAGGATTAATTGGATATAGTAATAACTTCTGTTTGGGCCATAAACAAACTTGTTTGTAATTATTAATCAAATTATTTGTATATCACACCGGTTCCCGTGCAGAATGATGCAAATGAATTGATAATTGCCAGTTTATTATATATATTAATTGGTAATTGATATTTTGTAATTAATAATAACAATAATAATTTTGTGCATATTCCTACCTTGAATTAAATCATAATTTTGGAGTTTATAAACAAAGCATGTCAGGTTGCTACAATATATCCAATTTTAAATTCTACTCAATATATCAAATATATGTTTATAAGCAAGTGCAAATAACTAGTCATAAATTCTGTTACTGGTTGTTTAAATACATAAAAAAAAATTGAATTTCGAACTGCGATGAAAGAATAGACTTCTTTCCCGCCATTTAGAAATTATTTGTTTTGAAAATGGAGTGGGGCACTAAAGAGAATAAGATCGCAGTAATGGCACGGTACAAAGTAGGTAGCTGGGGATTAGCCGAATGTTTGTGTATACCATCCAAAGGTACACTGAAACCATGTCTGTTGATGACCGTGAGAGATCCGGCCGACCGCAGTCTATTCGAACAAAACAGACCGTTAATGCAGTCAAGGTCGAAATCCCATAAGGAAGCAGAAAATCCTTTCTAGAGAAATGAGAATCCCACCGAGGACACTTTCCCGCATTATCAAACAAGACTTAGGTCTAGGGGCTTACCAGAGATACTTAGGACAAAGCTTAAATCAGGCACTAAAACAAAAGATCGAACAGCTGTTGCTTCGATACAAGGACGAACAAAATTCTCTTTATCAATGAATTTTTTTTACAATCGAGGAGCACTACAACAAAACAATGATCAAGTGTATGCAAACAGGTCTAAAGAAGCTTCCGAGGTAGTGGCTAAAGTTCAGGGAGGCCATCATCCAGCATATTTAATGGTTTGGTGGGTTGTCTCCTACCAAGGAGTTTCAAAACTACATTTTTGCGAAAAAGGAGTGAAAACTTCAGTCAAAGTATATCAAGATACCATGTTAGAAGCGGTAATTAAGTCTCTCAACAACACCTTATTAAAAAACGAAGTGTGGACATTTCTACAGGATTCAGCCCTGGGTCATAAAGCGCGCATTACCCAAATTTGGCTTGAGGAAAATGTTCCAGACTTCGTGAAGGCTGATGATTGGCCTTCGGCTAGTACTTAAACCGGATTTAAACCCTTTGGACTATAAATTGTGGTCTGTGCTAGAGGATGTGGCCAGCTCTAGGCGTTACCCAAATATTGAGCCGCTAAAGAAATATTTGGAGCCAGCAGGGACAAGTTTCCAATGGAAACCCATTATAAACCCATTGACGAATGGCCTTACCATTTAAGCTAAAGGTGGACATTTCGAATAACTTGTTTAGTATGTTAACATATCTTTTGCACTCTACATAATCACATTGAAACTTTAAAATAAAATATTTTTTCTGAAATTATTGGATATTTTCTTTGTAACAGAACTTATGGCTAGACTAGGTATCGGTATATATGTCTGCACTTGCTAGATTTGTACAACCAGACTGCTGTTGTGATAGTAACTAATTTAAATTTTAAGTTTAGACAATGGTTTACTATTTGTACAAAATAAATAAGTAAAAAAACATTATATTGCTACTAACCTAGCAAGCAAGAATGAAGTAACAAATAGGATATTTATCTTAAAAAAAGAATGCAAGAGCTAAAGACCAGATTCGAATCTATAACCATTTGCTCAATCATATAAGGTAAGTTATATATTTTATATTCCTTTTCAAACCTGAAGATTATTCATATTTCATAAACTCGCATTTCAAGCAAATATTTCAGGAATATGTTATATCAGGATTGAAAAAAAGAAAATTATACCTGAAAATATTTATTAATAAATTAAAAAATATTTTAATTTTGATCACAAGTCTATTGACTAATCAAAAATCGAAATACATTTAGATTAATATGAAAATAGTTCTTGTGCACTATGGTACTTGCAATCATAAAATGTTCGCAGCTTGCAGAATTTTAAACCTATAACTTTGTTTGAAATCTAACTATTTATCTCTATAATCATTTATTACCATGTCATAATAATTAATTAAGTATTAATAAAGATGTTATTAGTCAAAAGATAAATTTTGTTTCATTCAAAACAGAATCTCTTGGACTATAGTCATACAATTGACATAATCATATGATAGTATTGAGGTTATGCTTACCTTTGGGTTAGGTTTTGCAAATCAGATTGATTAATACCTTTTTAGTAACACCACAAAACTAAATATGGTTTATGCTAGTCATATACATCTATTACAACACATTGTTTATGTTTTTTTGATGAATTTCCTTCACAAGTCTTTCTGAAGATGGCTGTTTGATTCTAATAACAAACAATACTGTATGTGTATACTTACGATTGGTGGCAGATTCGATATGAAATTAGAAAACTTAAAGGGATTTTCGTCTCCTATTTTGCGAATTTTGCGAGAACAGCTTTATAAAAATGTCTTCTTGACAGGTCGATAGTAACCTGAAATAAAAAAAAATCAATGTGGGACAAAAGATAAAACCAATCTGACGGTGATATCACAAAACTTTGCACGACGAAATAGAAGCATAAAATAATCACACTTTTTACAAAAAAATACAATAAAAACGGATCAAATTCTGACAAACAAAAATGAGATTCGCACAGATGTTTTTAATCGTTAAAGTCTTACCAAGTATAATTTTTATATTGACAAAATATTTTGTATGAAATTCTTTTTGTATTAAATTAGATGTTAGTAATCCGATAGCTTCGAAATTAAAATTTATAACAGAAACAGTTAAACTAAACAGCAGACACAGCGGCTGGGAAAACTCAAAACGAATGGAACGTTCCGTTTCGGAGCTCAATTAATTGAAATAAATGTGCTTTAGCTTTAAAGGAACTCAAGTTGAGCGCTAACAACATAATTATACTACGTTAAAACTTAATAATGTTATTTCTTTTTAAGCTTATTATAAATTAGTTTTAAATCTTAATCTGATTTTACATAAGGTTGTCCACGACAGGAACGAAACGTTATTTGGTATTCTTGAACTTTTGCATAAAATAATTTGTAGGCGTTATCTTCAAAAGTGTCTGTGAAATAGAGATTTTCTGTATGACTCGAAATCAGTAAATTGAAGTCCCTATGAGTGTGACGTAAATTATGGCCTTTATTATCAGTATATGACGTATGATAGCATCCTGCAAATTTAAATTCCATATAATTTATTCAATCTAGGCTACAAGCACTTGTGATAGTCGAAAACTATGCCATCGATTCGCAAATCTAGGACGTTACCTTATTGAAAGATAACAACACTAAAATAATACGTCTTTACAATATTAATATGATAAAAACATCTGTACGATGCAGCAAATACACCAGTAAAATATTTTTAATATTGATCTTAATTTGAATCATCATGCTGAAATTAAATCAATTCAATTTAATTTCAGCATGTTGATTTATTATATTTTAGAGGATCTAAGTCCTTTTCCCCTTTGTGATGTATTCACAATAAGTGAAGAACCAATATTCATTATGTGCTAGGTGAATAAATTATTATTTCAAGCCTCTTAGTGCGCGAAAAAAAAAAAGGAAATAAATCGGTTTGCGGGTGAGCCAACGACGTCATTAAGCAAAATTATTTATTTGCAGAGGCCAAAAATTTAATTAGATATGATAAGTTAAATTAATAGATTTTTATAGCAAAATAGGCAGGTTGTATCGATTCTGCAGCTAACTAATACCACAGATGTAAAGAAAAACTCAATTATTGAAAAATACCTAGGAATAATAATGACAGGATTTTCACGAACTACCTACCAAACTATATGGTGTAACAGCGAATTTATCATAGTGTCACTTTTTTCAACTGAAAATGAACAGCATAGGGTAAAGTGGGCAACAGTGATACAAGGGGCACACTGTTATATTGAGCACTTATCTTCATCCCTATCATTAATTTTGATAATGCTGTTGGTATACAGTCTTGACAAGCTTTTAGACGTCCACTTTGAAATTGGTTTTGCTTCAGTATCTATATACAGTGTGTTCCGTAACGAAACAGGTGATTTGTTAAATATAAAAGACTACATAACTGTGGGTAATTTTTTTATTATGTACTGGTGGGGCGATTAGCTGTCTTCGTTCCAAATCCTCACCCTTAATCCTTGGGTGACGGTTTTTTACTGCGAGTTCAAATTACTAACGGCGCGCACCTAATTTTTGATTGAGCTTAATGAATTGTTCGTTATTGAGAATAAGGACATTTTCGGAAGAACGGTGGATCAGTGCCTATGGACTATATACCGTGTATGATATCTTCGCTGGTAACCGCGTCGACGCACCCTGTTCCAGAACTTAGCCCTCGAAAGTAAAGGATCGCTTGCGGTGAGTCGCCAACCCCTGCTTAATATCGTACACAGTCTATTGAAGTTATCTAAACATACATATACCTACATATAACTCAAAGTTGACTGACTGACATAGTGATCTATCAACGCACAGCCCAAACCACTGGACGGATCGGGCTGAAATTTGGCATGCAGGTAGATGTTATGACGTAGGCATCCGGATTTTGACTAATTCTACCGCCAAGGGGGTAAAATAGGGGATGAAAGCTTATATGAAACTTTGTCAATTTTAAACCGATTGGGCTGAGACTTTGCATGCATAAAGTTGCTATGACGTAGGCATCTCTTAAGAAAGGATTTTGATAAATTCCACGCCTAAGGGGATAAAATAGGGGATAAAATTATATTTCAGGTATTTTACACGATATAATGAATAAATATTCGTTCGAATGCTGCTCAAAATAACTTTACCACGCGGACGAAGTCGCGGGCAAAAGCTAGTTTATTATATGATGAATATGTGTAGTGTAACCAAACAAAAAAAAAACATGTTAAAGTTTCTTTCTTTTTTTCCGATATATGATATTTTGAAAAGTGATTACAATTTTCATGTAAATGAAAAGAATGATAAATTAATTGAAGTAAGTAATAAAACTCACGCCCTTACCTTTACATAATATTATGGGCTTGAATCCAGTCACGGAAAGCGTTCTCTGTTAGTCTACGAGAGGGGATTCGAACACTTAATTTTACGGTAAACTTACCTCTACCATTTCAACTACCGATTTTTTTTCAAGTAACTAGACTTACCTACTTAATTATTATATTAAATGAGTGAGCGTATTTTCATCAATGTTTAGGTAATCAACTTTATACTAAAACTTACTAATACTAAACATTTTTTTTTAATTTACAGCATAAGTTCGTATGAAAATCTTGAGTGTGAGTTTCAGTGGCATTGGGAAAATGTAGAAAACATTGTCTCTCATTTCTTTTTTTCGTAATGTTGTATTTGTAACTAAAAATAATAACTCTATCTTCACGTTAGATCCCTTGCAGGGTCTACTCTCTATCTAAGAGAGAACTAGTCGCCAAGGCAGGATCCTACACCTAGATCTTAAAAATATACAAGTTAGCCGGTTGATATAGTTTCTGACAACACGTGATTAATTTGATTGAGATCGAAGTGTCTTGACTTCACTGGCTTCTAAATCTTTTCCTTTTCGTATTGTATACCTATCTGTTAAAACAGCGTCGAAATTGGCGTAGTGCGCAGCGTTGTTGTAGTGGCATAGAACTTCAATGAAATAAAACCTTTCATGTAAGTTTTATTTGATTCAACCTCTTTGCTATGAGAGTCGTGTTCGAGGCAGTGCTTATAGTAGAATAGTAATGCAGGTCTTGTTGTGTAATTCTCTGTTTACTTTTACACCAAATCTAATTTTAAGTAGCTTTTCTTTCTAATCTACATTCGATCTTATTTACATTCGTTATAAAGAGCTTTATAGGTAGGGCAAAAGAGCCGTTTTTGCCTGCCTTTGCCTGTATAGGTCATTTGACATTTCAAGGCGTTCTAACTAACGCATTGGCAAATATTAGTTTACCATAAATGGTTTGTAAAACGTTTCATTATGGCAAAATACCGTCGACAGCTGTGATGTGTCAAAGTTCACTTCTTCGTAAATCTTAAAATAATATAATATACCTATAATCTCAAAATGGCGAAAACCGGGTCATCTGTCTTACTGCACAAATTAGTATACATAAACTTTAGTTAATTCCTTATAGGTATGTATGTCTTTTAGTGTTACTCAAATAGAAAGTTGTTGTTGGAGAAGCAGCAGCAGGAAAGATTTATTTCTGCAGCAGGAACAATGCACATTGGACATTACTAACAGACACATAAACGGGGAGCTCGTCGCGGCGCTTGTGTCGTAACAAAACATCTAATCCAGTAAGGGAGCACTTTGTGTGGGGTGACGCGCCATACGGTGACCACGTTCATACTTTTGAATAGGACAGCTAGGATCCTCGACACGAAAATGATTTATTTATAATAAACAAAAAAACAGCCATCATAATATATTTCAAAATTTACAGTATTGGTAAAATTAATTATGCCAAATCAGTTTAATCCATGGGTGCCTGATATTTTTCTCTTTCTTGAAAATAAATATGAATGAATGATTTATTGAACATACCATTATCACAATATAACAGCAAAAAATAGCACAGGAATAAAAACAAATAGATACAGTTTCATATAGGACTTGGGCCCAAATATTAATATAGCAATGTGAATATTGATGTGCCGTGTTCGGATATATTGCCAAGAACTGAAATAATTTTGTTAACATTATTTTCATCCTCCTATGGTTGCTATAAGAAATAGTTTTCCGCGGTAAGGTCGTGTAACCATCTATATATTTCTCGACTTTAATATGCTATGAAGAATGTACCGAATCGCATAAAGTGTATTTAAATTAAAATAGTAAATTCTTTTGTAAGAGGAAGCTCCGAATTATTTTAAAATCAACACTCACAAAGCATTCATTTTTTTTTGACGCTGAGAAATGCATTCCGCATGTCCGCTCCCCCCATGCGCTGGGGTTCACGGGGTCTGTGGGACTCCTCCTGTGGTCCCGCTCCCAGAGTGGGGGCTAGACAAAATACAGGATTTTACCCTCTCATGGTAGGCGAGGCGCGGGATCGGCCCGGAGGCCATACACCGCGCAACTACATACCATACCTCCACTATATTATTCAACATTTTTTCTACAAAAAGATTTTCAATGTAATTTTTTTCTCTTTTCTATCAAAAAATTTAATGAATTATTATTTTGGCCCAATCATCTATTAGTTTTGTCAATAATTAATTAATAGGCATAATATGTAAATTACAATACTTGTCCGCATAATTGCAAATTCATGGAGACTGTATGACGGCCCTCGCCGCCCCTTCGTACGTCCACATTCGCAATGCCCACCTATCGATCGACGAATACATTTTAACCCTAATTAGAGCACTTTCGAAAATTATTGCTTTTGCGGATTTTCAGGAGAATTGCTAGAAAACTACTTACCAAGTGAGTAATTTAATTCTTAGGGCCGATATAGCAAAGGAATTTCGTAAATAGTCGTGTAAAAGGTTTTCTTCGTGTTTGCAAGAATAGTTTTTGTAAGCTTCTACCTTAGGTGTAGGTATGCATAAGAAAGTGTTTATTAGATAATCATAGAAAGTGTCTGAGCCAGGGATAAGAATTACTGTGAAATGTGTTTTACCGACTTTAAAAAAGAAGGAAGTCACAATTCGACTGTTTTCTTTTTGGTAAATTTATGTTCCTCAATATTTGTTTTCATTGGCGAAGTAATTCGGATTAATATTTATTGTTTGAGATATTTTCGCGAGGTTCAGTATAGTTTTTGAAATTATAGAATAAACTAGCTTTTGCCCGCGACTTCGTCCGCGTGGTAA